GCATTTCGAACGCCTCAGCGAGTTGTAGTATTTGAGCGCGTTCATGTTTGTTTAACAAATACAAATAAAATACATGCATAATTATTTTTGAAAATACAATATTGTGTAATGAAAGTAATGACGATTATGATGTTGCCCGTTTATCATTATGTTTATGTGTGTTTGTTGCTGCCAGCCTCGGGCCTAGCTTTTTCGCACTGTTTATTTTCACTTCAACGGCACTTTGATTTGCTCCCTCCGCCTGTTTGCACAGGGCTTTCGAGTGGCATGCAACATATTTTCACACAGTATGATTTTAGTTTAGTTTAGCATCGAATTTTGTTATATACGCATTTATATCCTCGTTTGTTGCAGTGTGGTATTTACTATGCTAATATTTAGTGTATTTTGGCTCTTTTGTTTAGTTTTTTCATTATGCATTAAGGCATTTTGTTGGCCAATGATAACAATAAATTGAATTATTATTTAGTTTAATGAATGCAGCAGCAGTTTTTTTTTTTTTTAATACATATAATGTATTTGCCTTTGGATTACAATCTGCTGTGATATTTGCTTTATTCTATTTACTCTATTTAATTTTGAAATTGTTATGAATTTTGATTTAAAAGTATTTTAACAATGCTTTTGTCAACTTTAAAAACTAGCTTTTTTCACAACTTAATATTGTTAATTGCAATTGGTGAAGTTGATAGAATATTTAGAATAACAAATTAAAAATAGAGAGAGAGATTTAGTTTTTACAGACATTTCGTAAAGTGTACTCCCATTTAAAAATGTAATAACAAATTATAAATAAGCATTCATAGCTATGCTAAGAAATCAATATACAATAAAGAATGAAGCTCCCCAATAATAAATAAGATTTTGAAATGAATTTTCAATTTCTATCATGAATTCGCTTTGGGAAATAAAAAAAATGTTGTCTTAACAGATATTTTCTTTTATTTGAATCTTAGTATATAAAATAAACAAGCACTTTTGATTTTTTTCCATTAAATTTAAAAGAGTATTTAAAAGCCATTTTTTTAAAATGGAAAACAATCACTGAAGCTAACTGTAAAATTGTATTTATTCTTTGGAACAAAATTATGTTGATTTTGTATATTAAAGAAAACCAATTTCAATTCTTCTTACTGAGATTGGCTAATGGAGCCTTTCAGCCCCATACCCCAAGTGCATAAATACTCTAAACACACAACATAATTATGCTAATCAATAAGCAGTCTTTCTTGATGGTTGGATGGGCCAATTGTAACGTTTTGGTAATTGTCAACCAAAATGCCGTAACCCCAAACTACAACACAAAACAAAAACTCGACGCAATTAGCGGATTTGGATTTGGGATTTGGGCAAACTTAAAGCAAAGGCAAACGACTCTCGTTGTTGTGTTTACTGTCGTTTGCTGTTGTTTTTGTTATGGCCGTCGTTGGTTGTTATTGCTGGCAATTAAAACGCACACCCGCCCCAATAAAAAGGACGCACAGAGCAGTAGCAGCCACGCCCCATAAGAGGCATGCATAAACCGTTGTTTGATAATGTTAAAGTGGCGCGCAAACAAATCAAAAAGCATATTGAAATTGGGTTAATGTGCAGTCGTCCTGGCTCTGCTCCTGGCTCTGCTCCTGCAGGCAGCTAAGGACATTGCGTTTGCTGTTTACTTTACGGGTTATAATCCCAAAATTAAGCGCGGCCTGAGCATTAAAATTTCGCGGGGGTTCGCCCATCGTCGTTGGCTGTTGTTTCAAGATAAAACTTCATGTGCGTTGGAAAAACACAAAAAGAGTGCGCCAGAAGTTTGAAGGGGGCACAGTGGTGCTGGGGTGGTGGGTGGCAACAGGGTGGTTGACTGACAACACATAGACCTGCACACACACATACACACATGCCTATATATATATATGTGAGGGTGTATGTCTTATGTCTTATCGTTATCGTTATGGCAATGTCATATGTTATGCACATTTAAAACGTATGTTGAATTTTCCCTTGATAGCACAGACGCACACATAACCTGCTACCGGTGTGTGTGTGTGTCTGTGTGTGTGGGAATCTGTTGACGGCATATATATATGTATATGCATACCTGTATCTGTGGCGTAGACAGTTTCTCACACTTTTCGCTTACATGTGCGCTGCGTGTTTTTCCCCGTATGGTTATCAATTGGTCCATTGGAAATACCCGCTGCATCCGCTAGCGTGAGAACTGTCAGCACTTCTCTTAGCATATTCGACAGGACAGACTGTGTCCGTAGGTTCATAGGTTCACGGGTTACCTGTCCGGGAGCGCGCGCTTCTGTCGCCGCATGCAGCATGCAGCACGCAGCCGCAACACCCACATTAGCATCGGCCCAGCGGAGGGCGAAACGAGCGTCCAATGTGCCGTTAATTGCTTTATGGCATCTTCTTTTTTCTCTCTCATTTTCATTGCTCTTTTTTTTTTTGCAGCGTGGGAATCTGCCGTCAAAATCAGGCAGCGCTTTTTTTTTTAATGTTTACCTGTCGCTTTGGGCAACTCCTACGCAATGCTGCCTATGAATACAAAATGTACTCTTTCCCATCTCCTCTCTCTTTCTATCCGCTGGTTTTACACTGATTTGCTCCTATTTCCTATTTCTATTGGCGGTAGTTCAAGTTCAGTGTGAATATTTTGTTAGATTTATTTTTAAACTTTTCTTTTCTTTATTTTTCTGTTATTGGTTTTAGTTGGATATTTGCCTTTTACAAGATTAAGGTCAAGTTATGGGTGAGAAGCGATGAGCGTATCCGAGTGTTTGTTGTTAGTTTTATGCCCTTTCCCAGAAGAGTGCTATAACTTGGTCGTTAAACTGGCACGCTATACTTGCCATGCAACTCGAATATTCTATGACCCATTGGATTTTGTAAGAAAAATGCTAATAGCTTCTCAGCAATTGGAAAATATATCTTTCATGTTTTATTATTGCTCGAAATGAGAAAAGACGTTGCGATTGATGTTCTCTTCAAAAATAATCAGCAAAATATATACAAAACCAATCCAAAAATAATATATCTATGTTTGGATTTGTCTAATTGCATATCTAATTATTATTATTAAAAATAATTTAATTTTTCTTTAGTTTTTGCGATTTATTCTCTGAAATAAAAAAAAAAACTTGAAATAAGTTAAATTATTATTTTTTACTACACATTTTCTTTGGTTTGAATTGTTCAGGACATTTATTAATTTTCTTTCTTTACATTTTTTATTTCAATTTGCAAAAACCGAATAAATTTCCATTGTGAAAAGCTGACAAAATGCACTTCCAATTATTTATAGTCTAGTCTATATTATTCTAGAATTATTATTCCGCTCTCAATAAACATTTTGCCTGAATTGGAGAATTCTTGATTATTAAATAATGCACTCTAAGCTTAGGAATTAATTTGTATAGTCTTCAGTTTTTTTTTCTGAATTATTACTGAATGTAACAATTTTTATCAGACTGATGCCAATTTAGAGTATCAAATTTTTGGTGTAGACAAGACTTTGTAACATTCTAATCAATTATTCTGTTATTGAACATATTTAATAGTGTGACTTGCTTTTTTGTTTCCCAATTCTAAGTCTTATGGGAATTTGTTTTATTTCCGCCGGTTTTCATTAGGAATATGAAATAAAGATGTTGCAATCAAATTATGTGATGCCAATTTATGTGATGCTGATATGTATGTATATATAATATATATATATATATATAATATGCATATATATCTGTATATTTCCTGTGCCATTTTGACCCACTTAGAGTGCATAAACTATCATTAGCTAACTAACAATAGTTTTCACTGCTTTCTCTGTCGCACGATTGACTCTGAATACACCCCGTACAACTGCTACAACGACGACAACAACAACAACAATGGCAACAATAGTAGTTGTAGAAGGAACAAGGAACGACCTCGGCGGCACTTCAGACGCGCATGTTGCCACATTTGAGTTGCGGATTAGTGGCGCAGCTCTTTAGGATTATGATCATTTAGCAAATCTGTTGCTCCTGTACATATATACCTCGTCTGCGTGGCGGATGCCTGCAATTTGGTCCAGGCTGAGCTTGGTTCTTAGCAGCTGAACGACTTTTGACAAATGTCCCATTTTTGGGCACTGCCATTTGCGGCAGTTATTACAGATGCTTTTACAAATCAACCAAAGTTGTTTATCATGCTCGATTTACAGAGAGATGGGCAGGCATATATGTATATATATATATATATCTATATATATTTATAGATATATGCGACATTTCATTCATGTCTAGTCAGTGTTAGAGTTTGCCGCACCTACTAAAAACTGTTGGCTACGTGACCTATGTCAATAAACTTGTAATTACGTGCGAATTCTTGCATTGCTTAAACTATACACACATGTATTTCTTGTGTGTGTGTGTGTGGGTTAGATGGCCAAAGAATCAGCAGGAGCCATGCCATGAATTTTTGGCCAAAAACTGTGCCAAAATCACGTGCGAAACTATTTTATCAATGAAGCAAAGGCGACGCTGTCAAATTCGTCCTTAAAACTGGCCCTGACCGTAACAAACTGTATACATATATATCGATGTACATACACATATATACACATATATAAGAGCTGTGTGCGATTGGCAAAAAAAAAGAAAAAAAGAAAGGTTTAGTATATAAGTCAAAAGTGCTGCGGTTAATCTTGTCAACCTGTTGCACACACAAATACACGCACACACACACGCACATGGACACGCATACAGCTGCAACGCTTGCGCTTCCGGTTGCCATTGAGGATCAGGGCAAATTAGTAACATTGCAAAAAGTCAATTGGTCTGGCAGTCAGTCAGGTAGTCTGGTAAATGAGCTAACTTGGCCAATGGCTGTTGTTGCTGCTATTGTTGGTGCTGTTGCAGGTAGCACGGCAAAGTGTTAAAACTGTCTGCACAGGACGAACTCTGCTCAGTTGCAGACAGGTGATCGTCGGGATATGAGCTAGTGTTAGGCTGCTAAAAAGCAGAACTCTAAAAAACAAGTCAAACATTCCAACATATTCTGAGTGTCAGCAGAAAATGACGAACCAACGCAGAGTGCGCAAGGATTGCTATGAGAGCAGACTGCATGGTTTGTTAAAATAAAAAATAAATCATTTATAATTAAATTAAAAAACTAAAGAAAAATAATGATAAACTAATTGTAAGAATGATGAATTTATAATTATTATTTATTTTCAAAGTCATTATTACTTGTGGTGCTTATCACTTTAAAACATTAAGATTTACACAAAATGAATCTTTATTAATTTAAAGATTAAATAAATAAATAACAATTCTATTTAAATTGTGTGGTTCGTTACAAAAACAATAAAAGAAAATAGTGATAAACAAAAGTTTAATTAGTTTTTATTTTCAAAGTCATTCTTACTAACTCATATTGTCAATTTATCTTACAATCTGGTCATTCTGGCTATATTTTTATTTTTGTTTTTTATTAATATAGATTGCTTTTCATTGCCTCATTGCAGATATAGCTAAAACGTGTGCCATGAAGGAGAAAAGCAAAAATGCAGCACGCACGCGTCGTGAAAAGGAAAACACGGAATTCTGTGAATTGGCCAAATTATTGCCATTGCCAGCGGCGATTACATCACAGCTGGACAAAGCATCCGTCATCCGTTTGACCACATCCTATTTGAAAATGCGCCAAGTTTTCCCCGATGGTAAGTCGCACCTCTATATATTTATTTTTATGGAGTATGCTTGTAACAAAAAAAAAAAAAAAACAAACAACAAAAAAACGAGCAAAAAAGGAGAATTAGTTCAATTAATTGCCGCTCAATTTGTTGCTTTGGCTTCTCATCTTTTGGGATGTGGCGTGTGAATCAAGCTGGCGAAGCGTTGCTTTTGTCAAATGATGTGGAATCGTTGACAGCCACGCGGCACCGGCACGCTCATTACGTGGCACATATCCAGCACGCAGGACACAGCAGGATATTGCCACTGCGCCGTGCGCCTTTGTTATTTAACAAAAACAACAACAGCAACAGCAACACGGACAAGTTTTCAAGTTTAAAAGACGATGTTTGCTTAAAGCATATGCTAAAGGAAAAACCACTCAACAATGGGGCAGACAATAAACAACAAGCTGCCTAGAAAAGTGATGAGAGGGAGGGGGGGGGGGGGGTGTTTTGGAGGAACACTCCGGGAAAATACAATGGCGGCCTGTTGTTTCCACTCAAAAAGCAACGAGAGCGACAGAGAGAAAGAACAAGAGAGAGAGTAAGCGACGAGAATTTGAGACTGGAAGTGAATGCTCAGTGGGTGACACTGGGTGGCGCTGACTTCGATGTGGTGTGTGTGTATGTGGGTGGGTGCGTGTGTGTGTGTGTGGGTGGGTGTGATTTTATGCTGACGACGAGGGTTGCACAACAGCAGCAGCAGCAGCTACAGCCAAAGAGTGGGCTGGGGTAAAGTGGGCTGGTTGCCGTTGTTGTTTTGTTCCATTGTGCGCAGCGTTTTGTGCTTTTCTTTTCTGGGCTTTATTGAAATAATTATTTTAATAATAGGCAACAAACAACGCGCAAGGAAGGAACAAGCCAACAACAACAACAACAATAACAGCAACAACAACAGTCAAGACATGAGCACATGAGAATGCAATGAATATCGCCGGGAGTCGATACTTGCCGTGAAGGGGGCGGTGGAGGACGTGAGTATACTCAATGGTTGGCTGGCTGGTTGGTTGGTCGGTCGGGCTGTGAATGGGCCACCTACGGCGCTGATGACTTTAATTGGGAATAATATTTAGACGTCAGCTGTGTGGGCAAGAAGGGGGAGGGGCGGTCTGGGCGTGTGCCACAACTTATTTTGCTTGACAGCCAAGCTAAAGAGGCCATGGGAAAGTTACCAGAGCAAAAAACTAGTGCACTCCAAGAATGACTGTCTGAAGTTAAGAATAACTTGAAATGCATTGAAACATATCTGAAATGGAAGACTTTAAAATATGTTGGAAAGTTGGGGAATTATTTATAGAAGGAAATGCGTTGAGGTTTCCATATTTTAACATGGAATTATAGGGCTATATTATTTTATATTTACTTTATGTGTTATACATAATTTTTACAATTTAAAAAGTAAAATTAATTTTTATTTAATTGGATAAGTTTTGAATCTTTAATTTAATTGTGCTTGCAAACATAATTGTATATTTAATTTAAATATTTATTTTTTTATATATTTTAATAAATTTTTTTAATGCAAAAAAATACTTTTTTTAGTTACTTAGTTTTATAATGTGTTGGAAATTTAATGCATTCCATATTTATTTATTTTATATTTTTAAATATACATTTATTTTACGTAACATATTATAAATATATATTTTATTTATTTTTTGATATATCTGATTTTAAACGTAAAACAAAATTAATTAAAAAAAGCATTTCCTTTTTATGTTTTTGAAAATGTGCTTGTGCTTTTATTTATTTTAATCATTATGCGCAATATAAGTTTTAAAACTATAAAATATATATATATTTTTAGATTTTTGAATTGAAATCTTTAACGTTTGTTAATTTGTAAAATATTTTCTTGATATCCTTGCAGGACTGGGTGAAGCTTGGGGCTCTTCGCCGGTGATGCAGCGTGGCGCAACCATCAAAGAGTTGGGTTCACATTTGCTACAGACGCTGGACGGCTTCATCTTCGTGGTGGCACCTGATGGCAAAATCATGTACATCTCTGAGACAGCCTCGGTGCACTTGGGACTCAGTCAGGTGGGTGTTTGCACGTTGATTTATGCGCATAAATTTAGAATGGATGCCCTTTCTCTGCTTGGTGCCACTTGCATTTGCATGTCAAGGGGCACGCAGCGAGGAGCAAGGAGATCGCATTTGCCATCAAAAGGCGCACGAATCGAAATTTGCATTCGTTCGCTAATTGGCACTTTGGGGCAGGAGCCGGAATTAATTTATGAAATGTCATTTTTGTCTTTTTTTGGTTGGCACAGGTCGAGCTAACAGGCAACTCTATATTCGAGTACATACACAGCTACGATCAGGACGAGATGAATGCCATATTGTCCTTGCACCCGCACATGCATCAGCATCCAGTAAGTATCTCTCTGCTTTATCTGATTTTACCCCTTACTAATGTTGAGGGATATCTTTCTGCAGCTCGCCCAGACGCACACACCGATTGGTAGCCCGAATGGTGTCCAGCATCCGGCGGCTTATGGCCACGATCGTGGCTCCCACACGATCGAGATCGAGAAGACGTTCTTCCTGCGCATGAAATGTGTCTTGGCCAAGCGCAATGCGGGCCTCACAACATCCGGCTTCAAGGTGAGCTTTTCCATAGAAACTTCCTCATGGCAGACATCATTAAATGTTTGGTTTTGGTTTTGGTCTGATGCAGGTGATACACTGTTCCGGCTACTTGAAGGCACGCATTTATCCGGACTGCGGCGACGGACAGGGCAGTCTTGTACAGAATCTCGGCCTGGTTGCCGTCGGTCACTCGCTGCCTTCATCCTCCATCACGGAAATCAAACTGCATCAGAATATGTTTATGTTTCGTGCCAAACTCGATATGAAGCTCATCTTCTTCGATGCACGGTAAGTTATTGACTGCCATATCGGAATAATAGGACTAAAAAGTCTGATTTTTGAAAAACATAATTTATAGATTCGGAGTTTTTGAAGTGATTAGTTAAATGCGTTTAGCTCCATTTTATTAAAACAGGTTATTGACAGGAATGATACATGGCAGAAAATCAAAGATGTACAATAAATGTACAATCTCTGACAAACATGATATCTAAGAAAATTTAATTAACTGTTGAATTAGAAGATATAATTTATAAAAATTATATTAAAATATGTAACAGTTTGCGAACAAATTGTAAGAGGCAGAAAAAGTGTTTAAATTTGATCACAAGTGAACCAAAAAGTTAGCACTTGTTAAGGGGAAGAGAACTTTCTCTCCCACTTCTCCGACTAACAGCCTGTTCTTGCTGGTATTTGGCCATAAAAAAAGGATCAGTTTCCTTTGCAAGCAACACTAGGCAAATATTTAAACGGGCAAAAAGAATATGTTCAAAAAGCAAGCTAAAAAAATAACACGCAACATCCCCCAAAGATAAAAAAAAATTGTATATAACAAAAGGAAAGGAAAGGAATTTCAAGCAAAAACGAGGGGCTCTGTGACAAAAAGGAAAACAAATCATTTCCCTCTTGAGCTTGATTTTGCTTTTGTCTGTGTGTCCTGCTCCAAATAGTGGGCGGGGTGCAAGTGTGGAGGGGTGTGCTGGATGTTGGTGGCTTGACGTTGCCTTTAAGTGCCTCCCTATGAGGCAGCTATGACACAGCTACAGCTACAGTCGACCACTTTGTCTGACATTATTGTCACTCAATTACCCTCATGATGTTGCCCGGATGCCGCGGCCAGCAGCAGTCCGTCTCTTTCTCGCCACCTTAAACATGCTATGGTGTAGAGCAACCCCAAAGTGTAAAACAGCCCTTTTTTGTTGTTGTTGTTGGTGCTGTTGTTTTTGCGTTTACTCGCTGGTGTTTTGTTTTTGCTGCATAATTGAATTGAAGTTGACAAAAGTAAAAACCGACCAAACACAACAGCAGCAAAGCCCCTTCATTTGTTTAAATAAAAAAAAAAATAATCAAAACTGCGAGAGATAGATGAAAATAATAAAATATAGAACGAGCGCAACTTGAGCTCTGTGTACATAAACCCAACTTGTTATACTTGCTATATCCATTTAAAATGTTTTTAGCAGAAAAACAAATTGGTTTGCTGTATTTCCGCGAAGTGGCTATAATCGACTTGAACTCAAATTTGAAATGTTAGTGGAATTGTGAATTATATTCAAATTATATTTATTTTGAAATATCTATAACTCAAAGGGCTTAACTAAAATCGATATATATCGTTTTCTTGAGACAATATAATATGTTTTTTTTTTTATTAAGTTTTTATGATATCACTTATTTGGTCAGCTGTGGGAAAAACATTTAAAATTAATATTATAGAAAGAAATGGATAAGCTGTAGTTGTGCCTAAGCGGATCTAGTCGACATCAACATGAAAATTATATTATTATATGAAATCGATAAATATCGATATGTATTTTTTGATTAGCTCACCTAGGATAAACTAGGCACATCTATCTACAGGGTATCTGGCTAATGGCCCACCCCCGACTTATATTTATTTAATTTTCATTTATTTGCTTGCAGCGTATCGCAGCTAACCGGCTACGAGCCGCAGGACCTCATCGAAAAGACGCTTTATCAGTACATCCATGCGGCAGACATAATGCCCATGCGCTGCTCCCATCAAATCCGTAAGGAAAACAATAACAATCAACATCTTATGGACTAATCCCAGCTAACTATTTTTCTGTCTCTTTCGTGCCAATTGCAGTGCTGTACAAAGGACAAGTAACCTCCAAATATTATCGCTTCCTGACCAAGGGTGGCGGCTGGGTGTGGGTGCAATCGTATGCCACGCTGGTGCACAATTCGCGCTCCTCCCGCGAGGTGTTCATCGTCAGCGTCAACTATGTGCTCAGCGAGAGAGAAGTGAAAGACTTGGTGCTCAACGAGATCCAAACTGGCATCATCAAACGTGAGCCGATCTCACCGGCGGCTCAAGCGGCAGCGGTTGCCGCTGCAGCAGCGGCAGCAACTGCAACAGCATCAGCTGCTGCCGCCGCCGCTGCAGCAGCAGCAGCGGCAGCCTCTGTTACCGTTAGTGCCACATGTGTTGCCTCGCAGCAGCCAGCGTCGAGTACACCCGTGCTGAGCGTCAGTCCCAAGCTGGATCCATACTTTGAGCCGGAGTTGCCGCTGTCCGTGCAGCCAGCGCCGCCCAATGCAGTCACGCCCGTACCAACGAACAACAACAACAACAACAGCAGCAACAACAACAACGGGAGCAGTGGGAACAGTGGCGTGTGGCATCTTCATCAACAGCAGTTGCAGCATGGCGGCAGTATGGATCACGATAGCCTAAGCTATACGCAACTGTATCCTCCGCTCAACGATCTGGTCGTCAGCTCCAGTTCGAGTGCGGGCGGAGGCACTGCATCGAGTGCTGGTGGCGGATCGAGTGCATCCGCTTCCTCATCGGGTGTTTACTCAACGGAAATGCAATATCCCGATACGACAACGGGCACACTGTACTATAATAACAACAACAGCAGCAACAATAACAATCACTATTACTATGATTATGATGCAACGGTGGATGTTGCCACATCGATGATGCGTCCGTTTAGCGCCAACTCCAATAGCTGTTCGAGCAGCTCGGAGAGCGATCGTCAGCTGTCGACGGGCAATGCGTCCATTGTGAATGGCACATCGCCATCGCAGACCACATACAGCGATCTGAGTCACAATTTCGAGTTGAGTTACTTTTCCGATAACAGTTCACAGCAGCAGCAGCAACAACAACAGCAGCAGCAACATCTGATGGAACAGCAACATTTGCAGCAACATCGACTGCAAACACAGGTGCAACATCAGCAGCAGCAATACCAGCAACATCAGCAACAACAATATGTGTTGCATCCACAGCAGCAGCAGCAACAACAACAACAACAGCAACAACAGCAGCGAGTTGTCAGCGATTTTGCGGAGAGTTTTAAAAGTGTAAATGCGGCTGCTGCCGCAGCAGCTGTTGCTGCCACGCCCCATTATACGAGCGTCATTGTTGAGCCGCAGCACTATATAACCAACGATTTTGTGCATTAGCTGTTGTTTACAAAACAAACAAAAAACTTGTTGCAATCTGTTATTGAGCCATCGACTTATTGATTTATCGCCTATCGGTTATCGCCAACACAGCTCATCAGCTTATCGATTTATTGTAATAATGTGGCTGAGCCACGATGCAAAACTATTCTTTTGCGTTCTCACAATTCTCTTATTTATTATCTATCTATCTATTATTATTATTATTATGCGGCGTTTAAAAGAAATAATCATTGTTAACAAAATGCAAATGCAAATAAAAATACAAATTATATATATATTAAAATTGTAATTCTAAGTTTTAGTTGTACGCTGTTCATACAAATTAATTTATATATTAATTACACAAATACACACACACACACAGACAAACACACATACACTTACATTTGTAGACTCCCCTCATAAAATCGCATATTTACAGCGACTATAAATATAGAAAATATATATGTATGTAAATATGCGATAATAATGTGTAAATAAGAATGGGGTTCCCCACTCCATTTACATGCATACATAAATACATACATAGATATCTGATTTAAATGATGATCTTCAAAAGTCACATATGAAAAAATTGTACATTTAAAATTAATTGTAAACGTAAATTTTTCTAATTTGAATAAACAAATTATTATGTGGGTGAACAATAAAATCATATAAAAAAGAAAAATCAAATCAAAGTTTTACTACCAGCTGCTATACCAAGAAATAGATTTATTTAAGCAATAAAAAGTCAAAATAAAATTCCAAATTTGATTGCTAAAGAATACGTTATTTGTATATATTTAAGGCCAAAGATTTGACGAAGCTTTTTCCGAGCTTTCGAGTATTTTGCGCTACGCTGCCAATTTAAGTATTTTTAACGACAGACGCTTCTTACTTGAACGGTCTGGCAACATTACAAACATGACAAACAGATGGCGCCACAACCGTTTTGTGCTGGCAGTGCTGTGAATATTGGTCTGAAATTTAAAACGTATTTTTTCCACAGAAAACACAATTTTGGCATAAAAATTTGTTAACTTGAAATGCATATTGCATTTAATAGTTATTGTTAAAGCAGTTATGCTTAGTTACAATTTAAATTATATGCAAGTGCTCAGTTAACAAATCAAGTTGTTTAGTTAAGTTTTGTTAATTTTAAATTTTTTGCTTTTTTGGGCAATTGCAAAGCAAACAATTTGCGAACATTTACAAAAAGCCAACTCGTTGTTTACGATGTGTGCGTGTGTGTGTGGGTGAGTGCCATTGATTTATGGCATGTCATTTTGTTTGTGGGCTTTTAGGCGAGAGAGATTCTTGTGCCGTCTGCAGATAAAGATAAAGATAGAGATAAAGGCCGCCTGACCTCTTTTGGGCCAGGCCATAACAGTCTAAGCCAGGCTAATTGTCGTTTTTCAATTGCCAGCTCGAGTTTATTTCTTGAAGCATGCGCAAAATTGCACAGAAGACCGCAAATTATTTAATTGCAAAGAACTTCAATGCAGCTTTCACTGTATATGCATCTATACCTATATTTATATATATATACATAGATATAAATATATATATATCTTTTTATTATATATCTGTATAATGCAATAATTTAAGTGCAAGCAAACCACAACTTTTTGGCTGCCACGCCGAACTTCATATCCAAATCCAACTTGCAACTTGCAACTTGGCCCAAAGAGAGTCAAGCACAAAAGAAATCATATTAAAAATGAACAAAAACCTCTCAAAAAAATAAAGTTGGATTGCTCTAAGAGAGTGCTCGACTAGGAGATACTCTATTCTAAAACTAGTTTATTCAATCTCAAAATACTTTTTTGTATAATAAGATTTGTGTTTCCTAATGAAGTTAATCAGTTAATCAATATAAAGTCATATTAAATGTCAGGCTTTATATTAACAATTATGTCTTTTATCGCTTTCCGTTTTATTATCGATAAAATTAAATAAAGTTATTCTTTTTATGGTATATGATAACTTATTTTCCAAATTGATCCCTAGTTCTTATAACATCCAAGATCGGCTTAAATAAATTCACTTTTGATACGAATCATTTACTTTATTTCATATTATAAAAAGGAAAAATACATAAATTAAAGCTGTCCTCGACAATCCGAAATTTACTCGCAGAGCAGAGTCTATTTGGCCACATGCAAATTTAATAGTTCCTTTACAAAACGGACCAATTGTTCATATGGAAAAAGCCTTATAAAGTTGTTATTATCAATATTAAGAAATAAAATATCCCTGTTTAAGAAAATTGTCATACCAAGTGTAACTCAACTTATTATTCAGAAAGTATATTATTAGTATTATATGGATTACAAAATTTATGCAATTTAATTTTAAAAACTTAAAAATTTCTTGTGTTTCAAACCGAGTCACGTCTGCAAAAATGGTATTCGTATTTCCTGAATTTATATATAAATTTTTACAGCTTATAAATATTTTCTCTTATTTAAAAATATATTTCTCAAAAATATAACAAGATCCTGTCCAGTTTTAAGAAATTTGTATTCATATATTTACAATTTTTTTTGAAAAATAAGAAAAACTTTTTAGTTTTTAGAGCGATGTTTATAAAAAGAAACTAATTTAAATAGTTCTGCGCTGGTCAAGAAACTCATCTAAGCTCTATATGAAGGAGAAATATATCTATTCAATGATTGATTCAAAGTGTTACATATTGCATGAACTAATTAAAACACCCGTTTGGAAAGTGCTTTACAAAACCCACAAAGTGAGAAATGGAAAAAGGGAATAAAGCAGATGTGGGAGTTGTTTTCAGCTTCTGCTCCTCCTTCGACTGGCTCAATTTGGTCCTTCAGCTCCTCTGTGGTTTTTCGTTCGTTGGCCTGCTGGCAGCGCTGGACAGCAGCAGAGAAAATAAAAAGAAGTTGGAAGTTGCAGCAGATGAAAGACCGGCAGATGAAACCGAAATGCACTTTAATAACGAAAGTTGCGCCATTTCTGAAGAACATTTGGATGAACATTTCTGAAGCGCAAACCTAATTTCAAGCTTAAGCGCAAGTGCAACGTATTTTAATTTCAAACTCACTCGACGTGCCAGCTCTTCTACGGGTCTGCTCCATTGTGGCCATTTGCCGGACCGAGGAGGCAAGCGACACATTTTAAGCACATGTATAAATGCAGCAGCTGCCCCAAAAAGTGCGCTACTAAAATTAAATACGACTTTTTTCAGTTCTATCAGATCTGGCATTCAAAGCAATTTCTAATTTTGCCCCATTTTTAAATCTCCACAGCTCAAAAAAAAATAGCATTTTAAAATTCTAATTTTGTGTGTTTGATGAGTAAAATTATTTTATATTTTGCTAAAAACTGTTTGGTTGTTATTCAATTCAAAATCTTAATAGAATACAATGAAATTTTAAAGTGCTCAACAGTTCTAATTTTCAGTAAGCTTTGACGAAAATAATCGCATAACAATGTAATTAAAATCATAATTTAATACTTAAAAAACGTTGGTCCATTTTCATTTTAAAATAACTTTTTAACTAACTTTTGTATTAAAAAGAAAACAAAACTTAAAGTTCAACAAATTATATTTATTCACAAATTGTATTCATTATTTGGTGACCTTTCTTTATAATTAAAAAAAATGTTTCTTTAAATTAAATATTTAAAATGAGAAAATAAATAAATAAGATAAACTCTATAATAAATATGATGATTCTTTTGTTTCTACAAAATAAATGATCTATATCGGCGAATATATAATAAATTTTCTATATGGTATTCAAAGCTTTATTGGAGTGGAATGACTGTGTCAAGAACCAATGGCATCTCTAAGCACAGCTGGAGGGGGAATAAAGCTTCTCAAGCTTCATTGTGGTTCGGCACGGAAATGGCCAACGATTTAAATTGTTAATGCGTGCAACTTGCACGTGTGCAGGTGGTCAACTGGTTAGCTGGTCAGTTGGTGAGCTGGTCAGCTGGCTTAAATGGTTAGGTGTGGAGGTGCCCAGGAGCAATCAGAAGGTTCGTTGCCCAGTTTGAACATTTACTGTTATGGGGTGGCACATATTTGGCCAGCTTTTGTGGCTGCCAAATGGAAAATTTCAAGCCTATTACATAAATGTTTAAGTGGGCAAATAGTTGGCAACAAAACATAGTCACATGTGTGTATTGCTCTGTGTATTTAAGTGTGTGTGTGTGAATGTGTGTGTGTGTGCGTGTGTGTGTGTGCGTGTGTGTGTGCGTGTGTGTATGAGTTTCCGAGAAGCTGTCCAATTCCCCAGTTCATTGCACGCAGCTGTACACACATTTGACTCAAGGGAGAGCAGAGAAAACGAGAACGGTTTATACGGATGAAGTGCCTTGGCCAGGAATGGATTCATTGTGTATGTAACAGAAGAAGAAGAAGCATGCATGTGGCTGTTGGTCATGGTCTAAACCTAAATGGGGCCAGTTCAAAACTGCAATTGACGAATGGAATGGAAAAACTAGAAGCAGAGAAAAAAGTGCTAAAAGACATGAGCAAGAAAACTTGCTGGGAAGACAACTCTGATAATTTGTTCTGAGCGGCTTTTGTTTTGTGCGCCTTCTTCTTAGTTTACTTCGACGGACAGACGGACTGATGGACGGACGGAATTGACAAAGGATGACGACGAACGTTTCCTTGCCCTGACAACGGAGCCTGATTGAGTGTGTGTGTGGGTGTGGGTGTGTGCGTACATGTGTGTGGGTGCCAAAAGGCGCTTAGCATCCTTTTCTTGAGCTTTCACTTTTCAATTGACCTTTTCTGACATTTTGCGCATTGCCCGAAATTTATCACTTAATAAATTTTCCTTACCCATTTCTCGATACGGTTCGTGTTCTATTTCTATATTGTAATTGGAATGGCCAAAGTACTACTGCAAGAATAGATAGACAATGTGATTTGCGGTTGGGCCAAATTAAAGCTGACAAAAACCCAGTTCGAATGCTCTACTCGAGATTGATCGATTGCGAGATACCCTGCATCCAACTTGCTGATATTAGTTTATTCAAAATGAAAGCCAAATCTGTGTTTCTTATTAGATCTGAAGGAAATGTTTAAAGTTTACCAATAATAAATCTGAGAATTCTTATTCTTCACAATTTAATCTTTCGCTTCTTTTAGCTATCGATTTGTATCGATAATTTCTAAACGGTCAGTTATCAGTTATCGATAAAATTAAGTAAACTTGATCTGCATATGACAATATATATATTTTCTAAAATTATCTCGACTCAGCTGTTCACACTGATCCACGAGATATACACCCTTTTTAGTTCGAAGATGCTTCCTTTTGCCTGTTACACACTTTTGGCGCAACTTCAATATACCCTTTTCTCCCATTTTCAATGCGTACAGGATATTAAAAAGGGTGCACAAGTGATTTTCTATTGTGTTTCAAATTTACTACAATACAAATATAGCAGTCTTAATTTATAAATATATATAAAAAGAAGAAGACACTAGAGAAATTTTAGTGAATTGAAATTCAAATCGCCCTGCAGACAATAAAACAAAGTCAAGCAAGGATTATATAAAAGAACCAGCTTAAAGCTTTGGTACTTTGTTAAACCTTAAGATATCAAATATTTTTTTTATAACATTTTCTCGTTATAACCGCATGCAACTCAATCAAGTCTTGAAGTTCAGAGATACAAATTTTATATATCGAATATTATTGCAGTTCAGTTCATATTCCAAACTTTTGGCTGTAAAATCGAATTGATTTTGATTTTTATATATATGAAACCGACGAGTCGAGGCTGTAACGCAGGCAGATTTATGATGCATTAAGAAAAGATTGGAGAATTTTTATTGAATCTCATTGATCTGCATAAGAAGTGAAGAGTTCCTTTTGTTGTTGTTATTGTCGCTGCTCGCTTCGGCTTTCAGCTAAATTGTAGCAGTAAATGTCATAAAAAGGATGCCAAAGCTCATATTAACATTCTTTTTTTTTACGCACTTCGCTCACTTTGCTTTTGAAAGTGTCTTAAAAGCCAAGCTGCCAAGCAGCCAAGCTGCCAAGCTGCCATGGCAAATCCTTTCGTGCAGACGTAAACGTTTTGCAAAATTTATGTAAAAGATTTACGCATAAAATTGCGCGTCATTGAAGTTCAAATGCGGCGATTCAGATTTGTGAGATGCGATGCGATGTGGGGTGAGAGGTGAGGAGGGGGAGGGGTCTACACAGAGCGTCGACATCATCAATACACTTCAGCCATTAAGTGTGGCAAGGCTATGAGAGTGACGGGGCCCGCCAAGACTCTTCATGCAAAGGAGGCTCGAACTAAACGTTGCGCATACGCCATGTGTGGCAAGTAAAAAACTTAAGCGCGGCTATTACTGCAAATTGAATAATATTCGGGGCGTGTTTGCGTGTGTGTATATGAGAAGGGAGGGAGGGGTTCCTGTACTTATACACAGTGCAAAAAAAAATTGCGTATTTATTTGAACACATTTTTAATGAGCTCGATTCATACATTCGACTGTAAATCAGTTGAAAAGTCTAATTTATAAATTTTATGTACGCATCTTTCACGAATGATTTTCCCCAATCATTTCAATAAATGTTGAACAGTTTATATTTTATATGATTTATTTATGTTTAAATACCTCCATTTATCTATATCTTCAATTTATAATTAATCATTTTAATTTAATTTTTTTTTTAACAATTTCTCAATTTTACGGACTGTTTTTAGTCTAAAATAATATATATAAAAAATCGTAATTTAACATGTGAATTGTTACAATATTGTTGCACAAGTCTTCAGTTAAGCTCCAAATACACTGCATAAAAAATTTGAATACTTCCATGCTTTCTTTTTTTGAGCTCGAAAATAAAGAGCCAAAATTCAATTACATATCTAATTGTAGATCTAAAATTGTACTTATATATTTCATTCAACTTAATACCTGATTTGTCTCTCTGTATGCATATTTACTTGCTTGCTTGTATGTTTGTGATATTTTATGCTTTTGTTTGTTTGACTTTGAAGTAAATCGCAAATACGCCAAACGCTGCCAACACTCTTTCTCCTTTCTGTCGTTTTGGCTTTCTATTTTTTTTTTCTTTCTTTCGATTTTCCTCTGCTTACTTTTAGCGTTTTATCAGCACACGCACAGACCTTGTCTTTTGGTTTAGGGGTGCTCCTTTCTTTTTTTTCTTTTTTTTTTCCAGCTGTAGATGCCAAGTCGCCTAAATCTCGGCGATATATTTTACATCATTATAGCTGCCAGTGGCGTTTTCACTCGTTGTGGTTCTTATTGTTGTTGCTGCTGTTTTGTGCTTTATGTTGCGATGCTTTCTCGCGATTTTATGACTTTGGCAGAGCTACGTTCAACACCACAACCGCCCCCGACTCGCAACCCTCAACCCCAACTCAAAACGCATCCCTATCAGGCAAAGCTATTGAAACAGATTTCGCTGACGCTTATTTTGCCCCACTCTGCGAATTATTTTTCGATATGTTATTTGCCTCATATACACACATGTGTGTATGATTGTGTGGGTGTGTGTTGTGTGTGTGTTGTGTGGGTGTTGTGTGTGTATGTGTGTGGTATTGGTTTACCTTGATTTCCCCCAGCCTAGCGACACTTTTGGCATCATTATCTGCTAGGCATCGAATGCTCAAGCACTTTGAGTTATGCGCTACGCAGACGCTCAAAAAGCATAAAAAGCAAATAAATGACAGAAAAAAACAACAAAATACATAAACACACTCATACACACACACACACACACACACACATAAGGATACCACAAAGATACACGTGCCGCGGCAACAGATAAATATGTATCTATGCATGTAGCATCTACACTCAGCTCTCGCAGCCATAAACTTCACACTATGCAACAAAAATGTTAAGCATTTTGTCCATTGAAAACAACATTAAAATAACACAAAAGTTGTTAGACAAGTCATCTGAGCAAGGGATGATGAGTGAGGGAATAAATGTATTTTTACAAATGTATAGAAACGGAAATGATAAATAAATCGACAAGGCCAAAAAGTATTGTATTTCACATGCCGAGCGATACCAAATAATATTAGTGGGTTGTCTAAAATGAGCATTTTCTACATTCTGCATAGAAATTGTATCGTTTTGTTCTTTAATATTTTTTTATGCAAAAATAGGAAAAAGCTTCATGAAAAATGCGACACAAAATGCACAATAAATATGGGGAAAAATTGCATATCCGTTTTGTTCATCCCGATTAAAAAACTTAAATGGTTTTCAACACAAAATGCTTTTGATGACTTTAAACGGTGTTCAGGACTTGGAAATATCCTGCTGAAATTTTAAATTTATTAACTTTAGAGTCTTAAATGAAATTCATGTGCTACAAATCTAATATTTAATGTTATTTATTATCTGCTAAAACGAGTTCTATGTTTATGTTATAGATTTTAATTCACTGCTATTATTCATTCACACCTTTACAAATCAATTTTTTAAAGCCTTTAATAAAGCCTTTTAAATATAATTGCTACATAAAAAAATATATATTTTTTTTTAAGTTTTAATAATGCTTTTGATGACATCAAATGCTGTTCAGCAGCCAGAACAAATTTCTGTATCCGCTAGATTTTGGTATCTTATAGAAATGAGTACAGAATAGGCAACCTCTCAATCTATTTTAAAGTGTTAACATCTAAACCTAAAACCAAAATGTATTTTCATTTTGAATTATTAAATAATATAGCAATTACCTTATTTTTAAATATGCACTATTTTAATATACAGAATCATTCAACTTGGAAAGGGCAAGGTAAGCCTTGTTCCACAATGATCAAATGTCCTTTTTTTGCAATATTAAAATGTGTAGACTGCCTAAGCGTTTAAAGATGAGTTGGATGAGTTGCTAAAAGTTTTGTTCTATTTCGTTGCAACAAATCATCTCAAAGCCTTTTTCTGCTTAACTCTTACAAGCAAAATGATGACGTTTGATGTTAGTGTTCGTATTTTCCACCACCTTCTTTTTTGTGTGTGCCACAACAATCTTTCATCACAATCTTAATTTGGATAAGTGCAGTTCTTACAGCTGCAATGCCTGGATGGGAAAGTTCACACATATTTCCGACACTAAGCCAATGTTCGATGTTATTGGAAGATGTTCTTGCCACATAAGCTGTCCAATGGGTGTGTGTTTTTGTGTGTGTGTGTGTGTGTGCTTAACACACCATTGAACTGTTACGCAACAACAGCAACATATGTGTGTGCGTGTGTGTGTGTGTGTGTGCGTGTGTCCGGCGGTGGCGCCCCAACAGACAAATCCCATTTGATGTTCACTCAGCAGAAAGGCAACGGGCAATGAAGCATGCAAAAGGTATTTCTGTTTTCGTTGCCGATTTCTCTCACTTGCCCAACCCGCCTTCTCCTTTTTTTTTCCTCGATAGCCGAGATTTTGGCTTTGTAACTCAAAATCGACAAGCAGTCTCAACAGCAGCAACAAGGAACAAATGTGCAAACAACATGAAAAACGCTGGCGTAAGCAAAAAAAAACAAAAAAAAAAAAAAACGAAATAAAATAAAACACAAAAAAATAAAATTATATGGAACAGCTGTCTTAACCCACCGCATTTAAGATACCCTAGCAAAACGGAGTATGTTTCTTCACAGCTAAATTTAATTATTGAATAATTAACTTTAATTACAGCTATGAAAACTCTATGAAATGATCTATAAAATATTTATAATGTGTATGGTCAATGTTTGAATTTACTTTAGCTACGCGGAGCAAAAGAGCAATCTACAGCGATTGCTGGAGCAGTTGCACAAGCTACACAGTTTTGGCACCGCTGTTGTTCCTATAGCTATTGCCACAATTATACAGATTACATTGGTAATTTCTTTGCTCTTGCTACTGCTATTGCTATCGAAAATGACAGAGCAGAGTAGAGGAAAAGAGCATTCATTTCAGTTTACTGATCTCTGCTATTGCTCTCTTTAAAGTACGTAGCAATAGCAATATTAAAGCGTAAAACTATCAAGGAGCACAGCATTTTCAATCATTGTTTATGGCTGTCTTTCGCCAGAGTAAAAGAAGACAACGGCAAGAAAATGTTCAATTGCGGAAAGACACAGGACAAAAGGCTGATAGTAGGTGTGGCAACGCATCCAAAAAGTTGTCTATTTTTTTGTATTCGTATGCCATTTTTATTGAACTTTAATTCGTTGTGCAACGGTCGAAATGTGGCGCATAAATTGTGCCTCACTTTTGTGCTTAAGCTGGTACTTTGTGCAGATTGCGATCAAATGCGACGACTGCGGATGCAGCAATGTTCGCGCTTCCGCCGTTTTATTGTAAATACGCGTAAGCAGCTGTCAAGGGGCAGCCATTGGATTGGATCAGGAAGCGACGAGAAGTTGTTGCCCATTGTACAATGCTGTAGGTTGGGATTTGAACATTCTGCATTGTACATTGTACATTGTACTTTGTACATTGTCCATTGGGTCATAAAATGGCTTCCGGTTATGCTTCAAGTAAGATTAACTTGTCGTTTGCAATTTCTCTTTGATTTGTTTCAAAAAGGGGACGCAACTAGGCGACTCCTGCCTGTGGGGTGGCTTTGAATTGTTTTCCTGTTTTGGGGGTGACCACTGCCTGTTGCTTGCCTTCCATTTCCATTTCCACTTCGATTTCGTTTTCGCTTTCATCTTGGCCAAATCAACACCCGTCCCCGTTCAACTAACTGGGCTGTAACATTTTTTATGTGCCATAATTTATTTATACATTTCACTCGTTATTTTATCGGGTGATGCGACTGAACTTTATAAAGCATAAAGCTTGTATCAGTTGATTATATTCTACTTTATTACTCGATATATAAAAGCTTGTTTTTTTGTTGTTGTTGTTTATTGTTTTTTTCTTTCATTAAATGCTCTGAAATTTGGAAAATTATTAAATAAAATGAAAGAGATACTTCAAAGCTTGTTTAATTTTATATTTATTTTAATTATTAAATAAGCAAGGTAATTGAAAAATCGCTCTTAAAGCTGTTTGTTGCATGAATTAATGCAATCATAATTGTTGTATTTCTTTGTTTTTGTTGTATTTTTTCTTTTTCAAATGCAGACAATGCATGGATTCTCAACGATTCTGTTGGAGATAAGCCCACATCGCTGACCGGGTCGCTTGGGGAACACCTGAGGCTGGTGTGAGTTTTATTTGAACTAAAATTGCCGAACGAGTCACCCCAAATAAATGCTCTGCACCCGTTTTCACCCAGTTAGCTGCTGCTAATTCGACTCTTATGCGGGCCATAGAAGTGCGCTCGGCTTGCACTGGGATAAAAACTGTGCCACAAAAGCCATTGCCACTGCCACCTTTTTTCCATCATGCAATTAAGCCACGCAATCAGAATGCAAGATGGAGGCTCTCCAAACAATTGAGACCAAAGCAGCCGTGTTGACAAAATGGCGGCTGCCAGCTGCAAAGTCAACAAATGCGTTTCTACGCCGTTGCATAACATTCATCAGTGGTTGTTGTTGTGCCAATTGTTGCTATTGTTGCTGTTGTTCTTGCTGGATTACACTTTGAGGTGCTGTTGGTTTTGAGTTGGCTGCTTTGTGTACCGAATGCGGTTGAGTGCTTGGATTCCCCTGCCAACTGGCAAACAGTACTCAGTCCTCTGTCCTCATCCACAAGTAGAAGTAGCTCAACATTTTGCCTGTCAAAATAATTGACAGATTTTTTCTGGGTTAGTTTCTGTGTCACAGCCACTGGTTGCTTTTATTTACCAAAGGATTTTTCTATTCCTAGCATAGCTGGCCGCATCAGCTTAATATTTATGAATATTGTGTAAAGACTATAATATAAAATGTGCATACCATAAACCAGAAATTTATTTTTAATTAATAAAACAAAATTGTCTCGACAGAAATTTATATTTAATTATTCGAAAGCAAGTGCTTAATTAAACTATGGTTATTATCAACAGTTTAAAAAAATTATACTTGGAAGCCTCGATTCTTAAATTCAAATTATATTCTATCTTTGCCCAATGAATAAATAAATATTTATTTTAAAGTACAATAAATATATATTTGTTTTAAAGTGTTTTACTTCAAATTGTTGCATCATATTAAAGTTAGTTATAATTCGAAGAGAGCAGAATATTAGCCACCGATTAAAACAAATCGAGTTCCATCCAATTGATCCAGAGAAAGTGACACACAACATGGAACAGACTCGCACACAAATCGGCAATGGGACAGAGAACTATCGCTGCTATTTGGGTGTATTAGGCAGACTGGTAGCATAACAAGGAATATACATTTGATTTCCGTACTCAATTGAAAGCTGGAGATAAATGTGCGCAACCAGCAAACTGAGGCTGGCTCCAGACATCGAACCTTGGCTTGTTGTGGGTTAGGCTTAATTGAGCCTACGGCGCCCAGACTTGCTTACACATCATATTATAATTAACTTTGTGTAGCTGGCCTACCTCAAGTTTGACTCGAAGCTAAGTTTTTGTGCCAAAAAAAAACCCTGACAACAAAATAATGGATTTGACACATTATAATCAGGTTTGCATAGCATCGTCGACAACTCGACAGGCGGTCGTCATCGATGGTCGACTGTCGTTTGTCGCTCCCAAGCCACAGGAGGGCCATCCTCCAGAGAGGGAGAGGGAGAGGAATGAGATGCCTTCAGGCGATTACACTCGGAAAAATCGCTCTCAAATTTAGACAGTATCGTTAACAGTTGTTTCAAAAAAAGGCATCTTTCTTTTCTTTTTCTTTTTCTTTATTTTTTTTTTATTTATTTATTTTTTAATTTTGAGCGTGTTGATTTAAGATATTAATTTCAATTTGTTATCGACTTTTTTTGGGAGTGTACTGATGCTGACATCAAACTTGTTCTTGTGCTAAGTTGTTCTCTGGCTCGTTGTGTGCTGATAAGCAGTCGGAGCTCATGTCCAGGCATTTACTTAGTTAATTAAATTCAACTTCGTTCGGCAAAATGCTTGAGTTGTGCACGAATCGCACGTGTTATCCTTGATGGGACTTTAGTTTTCGGTTGAGATGTTTGCACAACGTATTTGCTCATATCGGAGATAAATATGCCAACACCAAAGCTGTTTGCATTCAATCTTGCATTATTGTCCGTCTGCATTTCAGTTCTAGTAATTTGCTGCCCCAATGCTTAATGGAGATGCTGAAAAGATTTTAAATTTCCTCAGCACTTGATACCTACTCTGCAAATAGATGCAATTTCTGTCAGTTGCAACTGAAAACTTCCCACGTGGAACAGAACAGCACACTTCACACACATATAAATTGCTCAGTCTGAGTCTGCAAATAGTTTTGAAACCGAATCGAATTCAAATGAGTTGATGCCTCAATGGACATTGCATGGAGTGTTCGCTTTTAAGCTTTGAGACTTTAATATAACCAGCAGCAGCATGTGCCACATCGATATATATTTTATTGTTCTATGCTGATTTGATTTAAATCCGTTATTGGAATTCGTGATTTACATTTTCGGGTTTTGTGTTTGTGTTTTGTCGGTAGAATTTATAAATATCCTAATAAAATGAAAATAGATAGAACAAATCATAACTATTAAAAAAATTAACACGTCCCAAGAAATTCTGATTTTTGAAGGAGATTTTTAGTAAACTATCGTCAAAGTTTGCTTTTGCGGTAGATATAGGGTTTTCTGAATTATAATTGGAAGAATTTCCTAGTAACCTCCCTTCCAAATTTGGTAACCATACCTCTTAAATTACGGAAGATATGGGTTTTTGGGGGACGATCTTGGTAAACTACATTCCAAGTTTGCTAACTATAGCTTTTAAATTGCGGGAGATTGGTGACTCTATTCTTAAAATTGTGTGAAATATGCGGTTTTATCGATTTACACGAACATTGCACAAAATCAATATACTGTATACAATATAAATTGTTAAATTAATGTCATATTTCCATTTGAATGCCAAGTGAAGACACAAACCACTTCAGGCAAACACGCTCGCAACGCAAAACTGAGTAACTATCGATATCAGCGAGCAGCTGTTATCGATCGAACAGCTGTTTTGCATTTAGTTTTGCGCGCCAATTCCACAAACTGTGTTGAGTGTGTTGCGCATAAGCTAATTTCGTCTATTTTATAAATTGTATTCGATTTACAACTGAGTGGCAAAGTGCGAATTGTCGCTTTACTAATATGTCTGTGCTACTGGCAGACATTGATGCCACTTGCGCCGCGCTGGGCGTAAGCGATGGCAAACGCTACCAAGCAGAGCCCGACGCAGCAGAAGGCTTAAAGGTAAAATGCAACAAGAAGATAAAGGTAGAAAAGTGTTGATTTGAATTAAATTTGACTGCATTTGCAGCATTTGATTTGGATATTGCGACGCGATGTGGATAATCACGAGTATCGACGCCACTTGGGCCGTTCCAAGGTGCTGCAAACGGATCTGGTTTATATGCTGCCCGACTACGTGGAGCACGAGGAGCTGGCAGATTTGCTCATCCGTCTGTTGGTGATATTAACAAATCCCACGCTGTTGCTGTATCGCGACGGGCCACCCAACGACAATCATGGAAGAAAGGTCTTTCTCGAACTGATTGACATATTACAGGGCTATAAAGCAGCCTTTGCCAAGGACAAAATCTGGACGGCCCTGTTCGAGAAACTCAAGCAGTCTCTGGAAACTGTACGTACTCCAAATAATAAATACATTTTTGAGCTAGCTAATAAGTAAAGATTTTGGCAACGCATGATGGGCGACAACGTCGAGGCCAAGGAGAGCGACAGTGAGAACGAGGATCTTGGCGATTCCTCTGAGGCCGACTCCGATTGCCCCTTCTACAAGTGCCTGGTCTGCAGATGCACGGCCCGCAATCCTCAGGTCACATTCTGCGGTCACATCTACTGTGGCAATTGCATTAAAGAATGGATCAACAGCCAAAATCTGCTCGGCAAGTGCCCCTATTGCAACTCACTGGTGGGCTTCAACACGGTGATACCCATCAATTCGATTGGGTCTCGCTCCTGCAAGTCCGTTGATGAGCATCGCTACGATATGAAATCCATTGGCAGCAATTCGATGAGTGCCATGAAGTTGGAGCTGATGCCACGCACAAAGCGGCTGCACGAGCAGCTGCTGCGCGACCGCTCCACAACCAGTTGCTATGTGAAGCCGACGCCTTGGCAGTTCATCCTGACGCTAATCATGCTCTCTCTCTTCGCCATCTATCTAATTGATGATGGGACTAAGTAACTGTAACAGTTCAAATTGTGCACGATGTTTGTTTGGTCAAATGTTTTAAATACATTCGCCCAATCTCTCTGTCTCTCTGGCGAATGCCGTTAATTATGGTACTTAAATGAAGGCAGTGGTTTGGGACCAGGGCAATTATCGGCCTGGCATTTGCACAACTATTTTTGTAATCTTTATAGACCCCGCACAAGTCGTATTAATGTGGCAGCAGCATCAGGCAGGCGCGCAAAAGTTTTAATGGCTCTCGTTGCCAGCTGCCAGCAGCGAAGTTGGAAAACGTTTACTGCTTTTAGATTTTTTTTTCTTCCTCTTTTTATCACATTTTCTCCTGTGCTGCCATTTGCTTTTTGTTTTGGACCTGACTTCGAGGCTATCTTGGTTTTTTGTGGTTTTTTTTTCTTGCCCTTTTGTGCGCTTCATAACTAACTTGAACTTAATTTACTATCTGCATATCATCTATTGCCCATAGCTTTTGGCTTTTTTGAGAAAGTATTAACTGCACTTCGAAAATAGTCGGTTTGGATAACTATATGGGGATATAAAGCTATTTGTTGAAAATATTCTTTTTTGTAAAAGAACATTTATGCTTTCAAGCTCACAAAATTTGATTGCTAAAATTAATTAATATATTACTTTTATATATATATATGTGTAGCTCCCATATGAACAATCAACCGAATATGAAGGTCTCTAATGAATATCTTGTTTATGTGTAAAAATATCTAATTTCAATTTACATATATTATTTTTTGTAAAGATATCTAAACTTAATTCACATTGAAATTATGATGTGCTGATACTGATACTACTGTACATCATATTCGGTATCTGAAAAATATGTGTTCAAGCTTGCTTTTGTCTACTAACCCTTGATAAGTTGCGCTCCAATATTGACTTTGAAGGTGCAGCATTGTTTGTCTCATCAAACGTGTCAAAAATACCAAATGTTAAGAATTTAATTTTGTAAAAATCACACGAAATCAAATCGACGCCCAAAACTTTTTCAACGACACGCAAAAAGAAAAACCGCAACAAGTCGATCTAATAAACACCCACGACGCTAAAAAAAAAAATAATAAAAGAAATAGAAGCTAAATGCCAGAAGGCACCTTCAAATCAAACGCGTCGTTTCTACTGCGAGGAGTCTGTGGTTTTTGCCTCGGCACATGCCCCAATGTCAAACAGCAAAACAGTGGGTGTTGACAGTATACTACTAGCCGAAAACCACAAGACCAACAACAACAGCAACAGCAACAACAATTTGCTACATTTTGTGTGTCTAACTGAGAATGAAACGTTTTCAATTGCTAAATTGTAACGGAAAGAAATGAATACAAAAATGAAAGAAACCCCTCACAGTTTGCCCAGCGGCAGGGAATTACATGAGCAGACTATTTGGAGTTGAAAAAGACTCTGTATTGCGGGAAAAACAAAATGGAAATATTTTGTTGCTTGCAGGTTTAAATTACTAGAGCATAAAATATATATATATATTTGCTTCGCAAAAGACTTGATAGTCAACTCAGTTGCTCTTCGCCATGTTTTTCCATTTCATTGTTGTAAAAAACTAAACTAATTATGCTTTCCAATTTTCTTTTGTATTAAAAGCATATTTTTCTTATTTTATAATATTTTGACGTATGAATATAATTTTTGGTCTTACAGCAATTGAATAATCTGTTATGGGAATAGGATTAATCAAATCTAATCAAAGTTTTCTACGATTCTTATGTGCATCTGCAATAACATTTTTGTCGTGGTTGGAGGCATCAGTTTATATATATATATATACATAATATGAAAATAGAAATAGAAAATAGAAAATAGCACGATGTCAGCTTTTAAAGTTGATTGAGGTTTTTCACACGCACTTTTCATTTTAATCAAAACAGGTTTATAGGTCTCGTATTAAATATTTATGTTTTTGTTTATTCTTGTATTGTGGAACTGTCCAATTGGTAATTTTAGCACAAAACAAAAGGACGTTTCGCTATGTCAGCTTCAGCTGTCATTTATTACTAATTGAAATGATTTTACAATTTACACCAATGTAATTACCTTTTTTTAAATTACAAAAAATGTGTTCGAAAAGGTAGATTTGAGTTCAAAGGTCGCTTCACAACTTTCATTGGCAATTATCGACATTGAATGGCAAACATTTTAGTAACGAATAAAATTATGCTGATGCTGTAATAGTAGTTGCAACATGGCAACACTCACACAAACACCCAGACACACACACACATACACACATACGTGCGTAGAGATAGACCGCTGTTCCTTGCGAGAAGCCAGCTTGGTCGGTAGAGCGAAATAAATTCATTTAAAGCCGATTGAATCGACATTCATAACACTCCGGGGAGCAATTCAAAAGGATTTTCATGGTGCTGTGCTGCCAGCGAAAGAGTCGCCAGAGGATTTTCTTTAGATTTTCATTTTTTTAGCGAATGTTTTTTTTATTTTTTTCTTATGATTTTTTTCTTTTTTAGGTTAAATGCTAGCAGAATTCTCTATGTATGAATGCTGTCTGTACGCTTTGCGGCAGTTGGTTGATGGCTTTGTTGTTGTTGTTACTGTTGATAATGAATGTGTGGGTGGATTGGTGGATTGGGATGTGCCGTTGGCTGTCGGTTGCCGGCTGACTTTTTATGCTTTACTTCCTTATTTGCGTGGCTCCGACTTACACGCTTTGATGTATGCGCGCCGAGCTGGCATGTGGACAGCCAGAGCCAGAGCGAGGCGGGGGGAACAGCTTTTGGGTTCTCAAGTTGGAATGAGAGACATTCATGCTGCTGCTGCTTCTGTTGTTGTTGTTGTAGTTGTTGTTGGTGTTGTTGTTGCGTAGGGTAACCAAAAGCGGAAGTCATTATTAACTTTGGCCTTTTGAGTAAGGCGCCCGTGCTAGCTATTTGGGGCGTGTGTCCATGTCGAGAGTAGGAGCTGGATGGAATCAGAGTCAGTCACAGCTGGCTTGCAGGCACAAAAGCCGCATTAGTTGTATTTATTTGTAAGCCAACAGCAGTAACAGCTCCTGCTCCCCCTCCAAATTCTGTTTGTCGCCCCGGACCGACGCAAATTGATTTCAACTTGACTTTGTTGTGGTAGCATCTCTTTGCTCCTCTGCTCCTCGGCGCCCCTGGCTCATCTGTTCAGCCTGTTTGGCTTGGCTGGGTTTCGGGCTTCCGTTTTACAGTCGAGCTACATAAATTTGCAATTTAATTTAATTTAATTTCATTTGATTATTTTAACTTGACTCGCGGGATTTGCTGCTTAGATTTTTACACTGGGATTTGCCGCAAAGCATTTTTATTATTTTGACTTTTAATGTGTGTTGTTGCCTCCATCCACCACTCTGTCTATTTTCCAGGCATTTGCCATACGCAGCGAGGAGCAAAATTTACTGATTGAACGCATCCTGGTCCTGGTCCGAAATGTCCTTCAAGTGCCAGCCAATCCGGAGGCCGAGTGCCGTGCAGACAACGATGCCAGTCTACATGATCAGGTCATTTGGGCTCTACATCAAACCGGCATGTTGGATCTGGTCCTCTTTATTGTCTCCTCGCCGGATGAGGAGCAATTTCATTTGCATGGACTAGAAATCATTTGTCTATTGTTTCGCGAGCAGGTAAGCACGATTTTTTATACTTATATTTAGTCTATAGTCATAATGTTAACTTTATTGTCATTAAGTAATTAAATGAAATTGTTGAATTTTAAGTAAAGTCAGAAGATGTGTAAATTTAAGTGAAGGAATTACTATATTTAAATAAATTTGTATTAAATCTAAAATCTATATTTATTTTTTTATGTTTCGAATAACATTTAAAATTGATATATGAAATATTTATATTTAAAATATAGTTTATTCTAATACTCGATTTTTTTGGAGTATATTATATATTCATAATAAGTTAATAAGTAATAACAAATAAGTAAGTTGCATTAGTACTTAAATTATAATCAACAAATAATTAATTGAAATCGCTTTATTTGCAGAGCGCCGAATCCCTGGCAGATGCTTCACTGCAGCGCAGTCTCAGCGAGAAGCAGCGCGATCAGCAGGAACTCCTTGCCGCCCGTCGCCGGGAGAATGCGCGTCGTCAGGCGCGTCCGCCACCGGGGCGACACTCACGCTTTGGCGGCACGTATGTCATACGCAACATGAAGTCTGTGTCGGATCGGGACATCATCTGCCATCAGCCGCTACAGCGCGTGTCGGCGATCGATTTCGATCGGGAGAAGCAGGCGCAGAAACGTTCGCATCGCCACATCAAGGAGGAGGCGCAGGTGACGCGACGCAGCGCATTCACCGTTAGGTAAGGGTATTCTATATTGGATATAAATACGATTATACTCCAACTGTCTGAAAGGACTAATATTAACCATTTGTCGGCTGCTACTTCCTGCACTTTGGCTGCTGCGTGTGTGTTTCTATTGTATGGTAGTGGATGCGGCCATTAGCATCGAAATTGTTATGGTTGCCTGGCTGCCTGGCCACATTCCGGTCATTGATTTTCGATTTTACGGTGCAGTCGAGGCGAGCGAGCGCATAAAATAATATTCAATAATAAATGAAGGCATTTCCTTTTAGACAACCCGCACTCGCTTGCCTCATTTTATAGAATCGGCCACTATATTGGCTGCTTGCTCGCTTGACTTGTCTCTGGCTCTGGCTCTGGCTGGGACTCAGACTCTGGCTCTGCTGCTGGAGCTGGCTCAGTTTCTGGCTGAGTTCGCCGAGTGAAACAAAGATGTGACCATTTTCAAGGCGCCGGTTGGCCAATGTCTCTTTTTTTTTTTGCCATCGCCGCATTCCCTAATGGCCACCAGGTGCACCTATTTTATGATTTTCTGCTAACCAACGAACTACTTAAAGTATATATGCTTACGTTGCCGAGGACACCAGAGCTGCTTCGGCTTTGGCAAAATGCTATCGCTGTTATGCTCTTCTTTTCAGAGATTTAAAAAGCAAAGCCAGAGCATTTACATTTCGTTTGCATTGGTAATTTGTTTTTAAATTTTATATATACTTCGACCCTTCTTTGATTGAATTATTAATTCATTATATAGCACATCAATTAAATTAAACAATTATTAAGCTATTTTTAATTCCAAAAGAAATTAAATTTCAATTGCAAGTAGATATTCAGTATTTAATTATTATTACTGTGTAATAAAATAATTAAACCATTTGCTGCTTTATTTGTTTTTCTGAAACCATTATATATTTTTTTTTTTTGGGACAATTTCGTAATTGTCATTGCAATATAATGAATCAGTTATTGGAACTATTATTAGCTAAGTTATAACTTGGCATTGATTAGAGTACCTACACTTCGACTTGTTGAGTTTTAACCCGATGGTTGTTGCTGCGATTTGTCGTCCAGCGGCCATAAAACGCGGAGCAAAGATAAAAATGCAGCAGTGGTAGCGTAATCTTGGTGGCGCCACTGCAACGACACCATCAGTGTAAACTTCTGGCACTGCCTCTGCCACACACTCTGCCTCAGACACTGATTCTGGCTCAGCCCATCGTTTCAAATGTGCAACGATTTTTGCAATGTGGGCCAACACTTTTGCTTGTTAGTTTGCTGACTTGTTTGCGGCTGGACTGCCTAGTTTATTGGCCTGGTCCATTCGAAAGCCCAAATCTGTTTGCCACCCATAAATTGGCAACAACCAGCCCAAGCCTCGCCAGACCAGGCCGGGACTGTGATTAGGCAACTCGCTGGCCAAAATGCCACATCAATAAGCGGAGCTATCGCAAAATAATTCCAACTGTATTTGGCAAGCGAACTTCGAAGTTGCTACTGATATGCTCAGAGGAACATGTATTCGTGCAGACGAACCCAAGCAGCTGGGGTAAAGTTCATCAATGTCACGTGTCGGCCGACGATATTCATCCACCCCAACAGCGCAAACAATTTGTTGCCACTCAACTGGTATTGCAAATGTTGCAATATGCCGCCAGGCGTCTACAATATGTTTGTCCATTTCTGTTTTTTTTTTGTGCCTAGACTTTTGACATAAATGAATCTGTGAAACGTTTGCTCTGCGCCAGATAGCCTGAGATGCACAGATTCGGAGAACGAATGGATCTGGCTGCTATTCTTGCAGTTTCTAGTCCGTTTTAGTTAAATAAATTGGCTGCATCCAATTTATTGCATAAACCCAGACAATAGCAGTTTGTTATGGCCAACCACTTGTCAATACTCTGAAACGCACTGGGGAAAAAAATCAAAGACATTCGAACTTAAGACGTTGTATGGCAAATCTAAAGAACAATTCAAACTATTCGAATTTCAAGTAATTTAATCAATATATTATAAACAAAAAGCTTTCTTAAGCTCGCATTCATTTTATTCATTATACATTAAGAGAATTATAAAAAAATGTATAACATGACTTGATCACATGAAGAAACTAAATGTTTGCCTTTATTTCTTATACTGACTTGCTGTATTTCTAAATAATAAACTATTTGATTCAATCTCTATATTCTAAACATTGTGTTTGTTATGCATACATTTATTTTATTCATTAAATATGAGTAAAATAAAATGCAAAATAACATAACATAATGATATATATAAGATATGTATATATTTAATTTGATCGGTTAATGAAGTTTTTATTTGATTTCATGCATTTTATACGTATTTCAAAACAAAAACAGCTAAATCAAAGTGTATTTGAAATTTTCTTTTATCTCTGATATTTTTTCCTACGCATATGTATATTTATAGCTGCGGTTAAAATAATAATGTGCTAAATGAATAGTGCTGCTTTATAAAATCTAAAATCTCAATTTTTTGTATATCCCATTTTATATTCCCTCCGATTCCTTGTTAGTTCTGTCTATCAATCTATTTCAGTTAAAAATCTAACGTGCATTGGCTGCACCGAAATTGCATTTTAAATTCTGGCCAAGCATCTCGTCAGGTTGTTCGACTAAAAACTAGATAAAAAAACGTTGATAATTTTGACGTGTAGCAATACGAGAATTCTACTATTATTTTGACCACAACTGTGTGCATTGATATCGCTGGAGGGCACTGCTATTCAATCAATATTATTGTGGTATAATCATTTTTCATTCGCTTCCACAATATCCTTCCTGCGTTCCATTGCAGATTGTGCCTGCGCGAATATTGCATTGAGGTGCTGCGCTCCGCTTACAATACGCTGGTGCGGCAAGTGCGGAGGGTGCTGGAGCGGAATGCCGGCTCGTCGAGTCACGATGACTCTTATCTGTTGTGGGCCATACGATTTTTCATGGAGTTCAATCGCTTGAGTGGTCTACAATTGCAGCTTGTCAGGTAAGTCAAGTAAAGTAGGGGTATGTGAGTGTGTGCATGACTTGCATTTGCCAATGTGAAATACGTGCACATATCTGTGCCGAGAGCTGGGATGTGCGCTGCACTTGACTAATGCGTTCAAATTAATTGTCAATGATTTTGATAACACAAGGATAAAGAAAGAAAGTTAATCAAAAAGGAAAACGCTAGAGAGAGAGAGAGAGAGAGAGTTAGAAATAGCTCTGTGTTTGAGCCACAGAAATGACGTTGATGAACAAGCTCTCGTCTCAATGGCTAATGAAAAGCTAACCAATCGGTCAGCAACGTCAATTGCTGGCAGGCGTTGAATCAGCAAATATGTAAATTTTTTCTACCAGCTTCAACGCTTGGCTTTTAATCAAATTACTCTAGCCCAGTTCGAATCTCTCTACATACTACGCACACACCAACAGTCACACAAACACACACAATCCACTCGAGATCTTGAAATGCGTGAACTGGAATCAACAAATTTTGCTGTGATTTTTATTTAAGGCAAATTCGAACTATATTTTAAATTATTACATACGAATACCTATCGTTGGGAATATGGTTATCCACAAAATTAAACTTCGAATAAAGAATTTATTTATTTATTTGTCGCCTAATATCAGTTGTCACAGAAAATATAAAAAAATATAAATAAAATTGATACGATTTCTGGGGCGACTTAATAATAGTAATAGCAAAAATAAATTAATAAAATAAACTAATCAGACCAAAAATAAGCAATAATAGATTTGAATTAGTTGAGATGCCCAACCACAAATAAATGCGAAGCTGTACTGACGTTTAAAATGAAGTTCTTAATGATGTAAGTAAGGCACTGTGAATTGATAACATCTGAAGTCTATTGTAATCATTAGTAAGAAAATCTTCATGCAACGAATAATTAATAGTGCGACGCTTAAAAGCAAATTAGAACTATAACTAAAAAAGAGTATTTTTTATACTTCTTAGATTTTTTCTTTAATAATTGTTAAATGATATATTTCATAAATTGCAGATGATAAATTAGAATCACACGATTTCGCATCCTTGACAGAAACATGCTAAAACAGAAATAAGTAACGTCTACCACTCTTATCTATGAACTTATTTGACTTTATCGATTCAGTTCCCAATTAAGTGTCCTTCTCTCATGTGTTTTACTTTCCATGACGGAAATAGGAATATGTTCTGACAGTGTTGTAAAATGCACGAATATATATGCTGCAAATAAACTTGATGTCTTGACAATTCCCATTTGACCATATGCACTTGTGTTCTCTCGCAGTATACACACACACGCACACACACACATATTGCTCAATATTCTTGCTTTGTTATTGTTTTTGGCCACAGCACAATTTGTGTGTCATTTTGTTGGATTTATTGGGAGACAGTCATCGTCCCCATTTGATTGCTCTAACTTTTGAGAGAAAGGCAACCACAGAAACACATGCAGAAATCAAAATCATGAGACCAATCGTTGACCTATGCCACATTACATTTGCGTGGGTGTTTGACCCTCCGCCCCAACAACTATCGTGTGTGATGCTGTGTTTTTAGCTCAGTTGACGCCTGACAGTTTTCGAGAATTTAGCTGGTCACTGGCTCATTGTTGTTGGGTATTTTATTGTTATACAGCATGCTGTTAATAAAATTTTGCTGTCAAATCTTTCTCTCTTCTTGTCTCACTCGCTCTCTGAGACACTCTTCTTCTCCTGCTCAGTTTGTGTCGTGGTCATTGTGCTCGTTGTGCTGAGTGGTGGGAAATTTCTTTAAAATTGTTTTGGTTACTTTCAAATTAGTTTCTGAATGACAACAATGAAGCTTTTGCAAAAATGTTGTCATTCCGCTGCTGTAAAGTTTTCTCAGTCAGACGCCCAACAACGTTCACAACCCAGGATTCTCTTATCTATATATATATATATATATATAAAAAAGAAGAAAAATACTGCCGTACTATTCAAAGTTTCTCGCTAGCAGCACTAGCTGCTTCTCTGCTGCTGTTGTTTTTCATTTTTATCATTCCCTTCCTCTGTATTTTATCATGTATATATATATATATATCCTTATATACTGACACCCAACTTTCTGTTTATTTCCAAGAATGCAATTTGCCGCTGCCCGCTTCGCATTCGAACTTTCTTTATCGTCTGCCATTTTGTACTGATTTTGCACTATATAAAGCATGGCATTGCGATAATGTATGGCCGTCAAACTGAACAAAAGTTTTGCGCACTCTCAAAACATATAAAAAAGAGGGCATCTAATAAAAAGTGAAATTGAGTTTGTAGTTTTTTTTTTGTGGGCTTTGCTGTTTACCAGTTGGTGCCCCCTTTTCTGGGTCTTAGTTGCAAACGTATTCAAGACAGGCATCATCCATTCTATGATCGTGCGGCATAAGCAAAAGTTTGACCTCTAGAAAAATGCATACTACGTCTATTCATGTAAAGATGCTGCACCGACGAGGGAAGACCATAAGATGTTAAAGCATTATTTAAATTTTTTAAAAAATCAGAGGTTAACGTTCACTAAAGCAAAGTTCAGAATATCCTGCACACACTTGAATATTTAATCAACTGAAAAAGTACATATAGAAAAGAAAATACTGCGCACCTGTTTCCGTTTGAAAAGTTTTCAGTATTTTCGCATTGTAAATTGTATTGATTTTATAATTTATTTATTTCTGCTAAGTTGAAATGCTGCTGTCGCTCCAACTGTAATTAATTTGATTTTAATGCCCTCTCAAATGTTGCTGTAACAGTGTCTCCCTTATTCTGCTTCTTGTTCATTGCACCCTTCGCTGCAGTTGCACAAACTTTAATGACCATCGCAGCAGACGACGTTGCTAATTTTGCCAATTTGCAGGCAAATGCAGCCACAGCAATTGCAAGAACATCAGGAACAAAAGTAATAGCAACAACAGGCTCAAACCAAACAGCTTGTGGCAACGCCCATTGGGGGGGTGTCCCAAAGTAGGCGGCAACTTAGGCTGCCACTCATTTGTAGCGCTACTTAAAAATTAATTTTGTTAATGAGTTTTGCAGCGTACTTCAACTGGCAACTTGCAACCTGCAACCTGCAACTTGCAACTGGCAAACTATTTACCTGCGTTGCTCGCTCTCTATTTTTCTCAGCTAGTCTACAGACTTAAATACCCTATTTACTTGTGTGTATTAATGACTAAAGTCTGCGTTATTCTCAGCTTTTCGAGTACATTCTATTTATTTATTTTTACCCCACTTTCATTTGCAGCGAATCGCTGAGCGTGCAATGTTTCCACTGGGTTCTGACGCGCATGCAACACGACATGGACATGATTCAGTGCGACAAGAAGCAGGCGCGTCTCTGGGCCAAGCGCCTTCATGTGGCCCTCCTGGTAAGTAGAATGCTGCTGGGCCAGCTAAGCTTCAACATACACACAAAGTCTTCATGTGTGCGTGTGTGTATTGGCTTGTTGTTGTTTGTCTTGCCACTGTAAGTGCACTTTTGGGTGCACTTTGCAAAAATCTCAACGTTGCTCTCGAATCATGGCTTAAACCTTAAGCCAACTTCAGCTGCTATGGCATAACCTCTTTGAAAGTTGCCTGTTGTGCAAATTGAAGCCGAAGCACTTTCATTTATAAACTATGTGGTATTAGTTTAAGTTAATAATGTTTGCATTCTCAAATAAAACCCAAATTAATTTTGGCTTAAGGTTTATTTGGCTTCGAGCTGGGAAAGTTCTGATTAGAGAAGTTCGACTATTTATAAAAATACTTAAAAAATGTAAAGCTTTATACATACACCATATCGATCAACTGAACTATTTAAAATTGAATGGAATGCGATCGATGAATACCCGCTTCTGTTATTGATAGAACGAACAAGTCAGCGATAGACCAAATCAAGATATCTTTATTTAGACCAAATTGGCCGTAACAATAGATCAAATAAAAAAATAACACAAAATTGCACAAGTTTAAATGACTAATCTGATGAAATTTTGAATACACAAGATTAAAAGAACACGAATAAATTATTATAAATAATTTATTCCTATATATGGTAATATGATTTAATCTATGACATAAATGGTTTAATACTTCATTCCAATCTGTGTTGATACACACCCATAACAATGTATGGCATTAATATATGTGTAGTTTAATTTGTGCAGTTTGCATTTGAATTTATTTAATAATCTTTTATTTAGTTTGCTATTTACTGCAAATTGAATTGCAATGGATTTGCACACAAATGAAGTGAGCACACATGAGACGACATTTCAGAGCCACATTAATGCTTAAGAATATTGTCTCCTTTTTTAATTAAAGACATTCCGGGAATTGCTGCAGAGTCTGCTTGGGCTACAGAAGCTGAAGGATGACGATAACGCCCGTGGCCTGTTTGATATGTTATTAAACAATGTGTGCTATGTGCTGGAGTATCGGGAGACAATACTGCATTTGTTAATGAACTACAATGAGGGGCACAGCACAAAGTGAGTATAGCAGAGTTAAGCCAAGCCCGACACCTAAACCACATAACTGTCTCTAAACCTATTGCAAATAACTCGAGTCTGGTATGCGAGACTCTAGCGCCTGCTGCATGGATAAATGGATTCAGTTCGCTTGATGGTCACAAATAACCATGGCAAACACATACACAGATAGGGTGAGAGGTGACTATCGCTTAATAGGATTACTTGGTGCTCCTGCTTAAACCCCAAAATATGTATGCAGCTTCCAGCTGAATACTAAGCTCATCGGCAGCTAAAACCTTTCGGCCGCTGATACCCAATCGACAATCAGGCATTGTTTGTCTTGACGGCATGCCTTTGTCTTATGTCTTGGTATGTTTGCTCGGCTATTTGCGCAGCTTGGTCTCTGTGTGTGTCTTAGTTAGCGTATGTGTGAGTGTGTGTGTGTGAGTGTGTGTGTGTGTGTGCGTGTGCGTGTGTGTGTGTGCAGCTCCAACAATAAATGAACTAGTTGCGCTTTGAATTTTAAGGGGGATGCAGGAGAAAACTTTAATTGATTTCACAAGCATGTGCTGCACGCGTGCTCTGGCATTAAAATTATAGCATTTGCCAAACTAGCAGGCAGATAGACGGACAGACAGACAAAGGACAGACTGTGGACAGACAGTGGCACGCAGTCGTGTCGACAAGGAGCGCATGTTTTTGGATGTCGGGTCGCACCCGGGTTGCATTCTAATTGGCAAGATAATTGTTAGTAGATGGGGTCGACCGTGTTGTTACCTTTAACTGATTTACATAGTGAACTTACAGCCAGCAACTTGGCATTCTTCTGGTTGCTACACTCATTAACAGCAGAGCACTTATGTATGTACGTGTGTAACTCCAGTTAGTTAAGTAGGAGTACTCCACCACCCACCAACCACCCATCCAGCACTTCCCAGAATAACTGAAGTGTGGTGCAATCGCAGCAACTACTAGAAATTGCATCCCTTTTGCTCAAAGGGTATGCGGCAAGTTTAGAGATTCAGCTTCAGCGTGCATGCACTTTCAATTGCCATTAAATTGTGCTCAAATAAAGCTGGTTGAAAATTTTAGAATTTCGCCCGCTCTCCGCCAGAAATCCATTAGATAATTGCAATTTTTGGTAGCGAGCGAGTTTCACTTTGATAAACATATGTAGGTATGTAGATGTGAATATATTCTGTACGGTTGCACAGTATTTTCTGTCTGTCAAAACCGGCAATTGGTGCAACGTAGCGTTGTCTAATCCACCTGCAACAAATGACAGAAAGTGTGTTTTTGTGTCACAGACATTTAACGGCTACAAATAAAACTAAACAAACGCCGCGGGTTCTACCGTGGGAAATCAGAAATGTTATCTAGTAAAATTCTCCCTTCACATATGCCACATGCATACATGTAGTAAGTGCATCTCTGTCTTTTTTTTTGCCTTTTCTCTTTCTCTTGAGAATATAACATGTAATTGCTATTTAATTCAAAATGCATCATTCGTACAGAGTGCATTTGGCCCCACTGTGCATTCTGTACACAAATCGCTTGCAATCTATTGGCAATGATGGCGGCTCAACTAATGGCATCGCAGTCGCTGTCAGTCAGTCAGATGAAGAGATGGACGCAGATTTCGACAGATATTAGGTGGATTGACATGCAGTCGGCAATTTCAAAGCTTTCACTAAATTAATTTAGCTCACAAACAGGAAATTGTTGGCGTGTCGCAATCGTCGAACTGCAGAAACCATACACAGACGGATAGGCAGGCGATATGCATGAATGCACCAGTTGAGGCTCTTCGATTAGTTATATACCCTGTGTTCAGTACAAATAAACTACTACTACTACTAAACTATCTACATATATTAACTAAAATCATTTAATGTGATTCGGATTATACATAGGCATCCTCAGTTTTGATTTAATTACATTTTTATGTTGATGTGCGGCTGGCTAAAAGTCAAATTTTAATAAGGATAATTCAGTTTGTTACCTTTATTATATATTCTAATCTACATTGACTGCTTATCTTTATTTTATTATGATGAAAATTATGTGTATATAAATATTTAAATTATATGTCTAAATGGTCTGCCTGTGGGCATTCTATCTAACTTATCGCAATTTGTTTGTTGCTGTTATAGTCTCTAAATTTCTTATATTTTAAGAGTATCTGACATTCTGTTTTGTTTTAAAAGAAAAAAATGGGCGTGTTACTGGAGCGTTAATATTGACACTTGAAATTGCAGTAGCTGTCAGAAATCAGATAGATCGCTTAAATATTAACTGGCAAATTATACGAACCTGTGCATTGCTTTCAATTAATCTTTGCAATTAGCGATAAAATAAGTGGCGCTGCCTTTTGAACTGCAATCAGAACTGGAGCGTTTGAGATTTTGAAGCCTTTCGGCAACCTCATGAATTATTTATGAGCCCGGTCGCATTTACAATGTTGGCGAATGGGTCGCGCAAAGGTTGTAGTTGGGGTTGAGGTTTGTGGCTGGAGGGTTGGGTTAGCTGCAATCAACGCCCATCAGTCATTGTGTGACCAGCTGAGATTGTTGTTGTTGTTGTTGCTGTTTTTGTTTTTGCTGCTGTCATAATTAATAATATTTTCATTATAAACGTCTTATGAGGCAAGCGGCGCGCTAAACATTTGCCCCAAGACTAAACGCAATTACATTTTATCATTTATTCAACATGCGCTCAAAGTTGGCGCTGAACAAACAGCCGTCCACAAAAACCCCACAACACCCCCACCTCACCTCACCCAACCCACTCCAGAGATTCTAATTAATTCTATGCGCTGTCCAATGATATTGTTGTTATTGCTGTTGCTGTTGTCATTGTTGTTGCTGTCTTCCATTTAATCAACGTAAACGCGAATATCAAATCAACCATGGCCAGTAACATTAGCAGCAGCAGCAACAACAATGCGTGGCAGCAGCAGCAAACTGCGCGAATAACAAATTAATTATAAATAATTTATTAACGATTTATCTCTGTCCCATTTGGCAACACATGAGTTTGAGCGCCACATTCGTGAGTTTGAGTGCGGCTTGAGTGTGGCATTGTCGCATTGTCGTTGCAAGTTGCTGAAATCGATTTGCTGCTGCCTCTTGTAAAGTGGTGTGTGGCATGCAATTTGTTATGCAACCACAACCGAGCATGCCCCCTTTCTGTATACAGCTTCAAAGCCAAATGCTGCACCCTTATTCTACATACTGCGGTAAATTGGCGTTGTGGTCAGCAAATGGCAGCGAGGCTGTCCCACATCCACACCCTTCAGTTCCACCTGTTAGCTAAGGCACAGTTTGTCAGGTGTCGCTTAAGGATGTGGAATGAACAATTAAATTTATTCAATTCATTTATGCTTACTGAAATAAATATTTTTCTTATTTCGTATGCTTACAAATTTGCTTTAAAATAATAACTAAAGGTTAAAATAATATAGAAGGTATTTTACGGCTGAATTTTACAAAACATTTGGTCATATAAATATTTAATATGATTTAGTCTTCATAAATAATAAAAGGTCTCACACAAAAACTCTCCACTATATTTATTTTTTAATTTGAAAGTACATTTTTTCATAAGGTTCAGTTAAATTTAATATGGGCAGTAAATTTAATAGTTGATGGAACAAAAATTAAACTTTCGTCCATAAATAAAATAAAATCTTTGGCGTGTTTAAGAAAGGCATATTTTAAAAGTATATTTCTTAAGCTTTGCGGATATATGTCATCAAATAAGTATTTTTTTTGACAGTTCATACAATTTCATAAACCATTTCTTGCATAAACTTGTCAGCATTTAAGCACTGTGCGTTCAGTTGCCACTTTTATGCTTTACATGCCACATGCCGCAGCAACTGATAACGTTGTGGTAGGCTTGGAATATGTGGCATATAAATATCATTAGGGGTGTGGTTGATGTGTTGCAGGTGGTGGTTTTGAGATTGAAGAATCATTTGTAATGTTTTATCTGCAAATTGCAGTCGCTCGCTGTGTGAGACACATTAAATTATAGCCTTAATTAGAATATTACCAAAATCACCTTATAATTACAATGCACGCATTGGGATGAGAATTTTATATTTTGACTTGAGCTTCATTTTAAAATACGACAATATATAAATACGATTTTTAAAACACTTTGGTCTACATAGAAAGACACGTGTGGCCTACTCTAATTGAGTTGTATTGTCAAATGTTTTAATTATTTGCACTTGTCATTCGGCTAAAAGCCTACGCAACTTAACATGCGTTTAATTTTTTAAAATGGATGTGTTTGTGTGTTTGTATGTATGCTGACAACCATTTTAATTACAGATGCATTTCCCTTGGCACAGGTTCCACGTCCAGGTCTGCCTTGTGGACTATTGACCACATTTGGAAAATGCTGTCAGCTCCTAGCGAGACCTATTTAAATTCACAATGAATTTGCATAAATTTTTGACTCTGTAGCGTCAAGCGTCAGTCTTTTCGAAAACTGTATTTGGGAACTGTATTCGCTGGCAGCATGTTCAAAAAAGTTTTGTCAAAAATTTACTACCCTGTAGCACCCGCTAGATTAAATTTGGTGGCATCTTCGAGTATGTAAAACTTTACTTATTTGTAGGGGATGTTTTCGAAGGTTAATGCAAATGTCATAAACATGGAATTTAAAAACATAGATATAATCCAATATCGATTTTCTATTATCTGAGTTTTGAAATCTGATGACAGCGTATCTTTTTAGTAAAGTACTCAATTATAGATTATTATTTTTTGTATATCTGCCATCGATCAGCTTTGCCAATTAGACACATACCGCATATCCACACACAGAAGCACACACCCACACAGTCACTTATACACACATGCAAACACACTTATACACACACACACACACACACACACACACACACACACAGAGACATGTCCGCACATATGCAAATATTGCATAATCATTTTTGGGGAGATTTTCAACAATAGTCTTGCATACAAAGCATTTAATCGTAATTTTTTTTTTTTTACATTTCGCACTTTAGCAATTTTTAATACCCTGCAGACCTTGTAGCTTGGCTAATTTCAGTATCCATATTTTTTGCTTGAATTTCTTGTCCATGTATACATAATTGTTTTTGTAGGCATATTGAACATTTAGGCTTTTGTTTAGTTTTAGAATTTTGTTAAATGCTTAAATGTTTATAGAGATGCTGTTGTTTTTTTTTCATTTGTGTTGATCAATGGGCATTTGATGGTTCATCATTTATTCGTATCCTGTGCTTGGCTGGTTTGCATCGTCCTTTTCTATGACGCGCGCGATTTTCATTATTCAAACGGCAATCAATCATTTTAACAAATTGACGTGCACAATGACGTTGGCTTTTTATTCAGTAATTTTTTCGCTTTTGTGTTTTTTTGTTCTGTTACATTTTGGTATGGTTAAAAACAATGCTAAAGTTTTGCCAGTTTCTGGCTGCGAGGCAGCTGATTTTGGCAGTTTTTAGGATTCCTCTGTGCCCATTCTCCCTTTTAAGGTTAATTTGCTAATTGGAGGCGTCATCGACATCGACAGGGCCAACGGCAATGGCCACATCATCAGTCAACGACGTCCTTTGAATTGAGTCGGGCTAGTTAGGTCATGCTAAAAGTTGAAAAAGGGTCCGGGATGGGTGAAGAAAGTGGTTGCCTTTGCTTAGCTGTTTTAATGTGGTCGATGATTCTCAATAAATGCGAGCGTAGTCCTTCAGGCGGTATAAACATAGCCAGGAGTTTTACATATACATTCTTTGTCATTGGAATTCGGAAAAAATAATAAGAGGAAGTTTTTTTTTAGGGTTCGATTCAACCAATACTATTGCAGTCATTCAGCATAGCTATTTTGAATTGATTGAAAAGCTTTAAGATCCATTAAAAATACAGCAATATTTCTTTAACACATAGCATTGTGAATACAATATAATTAATTACCAAGAGAGTTTTTAGTAGAATTCCGTTGTTTATTATTTGTTCATTCATTTATCGAATGTCCACATTGCATTTTTATGCCGTCAATAAAAAAATTGTAGTGAAATTAAAAATGCATTTACCACATTTAATTGAATTTGCAGATGATCATATTATTTTTTATAGTTATAATCGCTTTTCTTTTGTTTCTACAACATAAAAAGTAATTTAATTACCGTATGCATATGAGATAATTTTATTTACTAACCAGCACATTTTTACTCCACCCAGGGTCTTTCTGCGCGACGTTGTGGAAACGGCCAATGTTTTTATAAAAATGATGGAACGCTTCTGTCAGGATGCAGTCCTTGTCCAGGACAAGCGGAGAGGAGGGGGTGGCAAGCGCAAGAAGCAACATCCGGCTACCAAGTCCAAGCAGCCGCCGGCTGCCGCACAGCCATCGGAGGTAAGTCCAGAGTCGCCGAGTGAAATTGAAATTTTTAATGCTTATAAATAAATTGCTGCATTAAATGACATTATTTGGCTTGCGGGTGTTTGTCGCCCGCTGTGTGCGCCATAAAGTATTCTCTAAATTGCCAATAAAATTTAAAACAAATAGCAGAAAGCGCCAGCGCCTGGGTCAAAAAACAATTGTCGTCTATACCGCTGGCAGGCAAGGATTTATAGGTCTGATCACGAAATTTAATTGACTGAAAATATGGTTAAAAATAAAAGAAAAAGTTGGCCAACCACCGCGTCTTTCGCAACTGCCGGTTTATTTGTTTGCTATCATCTTTATTTATTTACTTTCTATTCGGTACAACTATTTATAATGGCTGGTGACTGGAATACAATTTAAATATACTAGGACATCCATCTCTATGTATTTTCGATGACGTTTTTTTGACGTGTTTTAATAATTGTTGTATGCATTTTTTTCTCATTTATAAATTGTGTATGCTTAGTTTATTTGCCATGTATAAATAAATATTTTTATGAATTCGTAAATATATTTTATATTAAAGATTAAACTGCGGTGACTAATCAGCTATGTGGGTATAGAAGATATTATGCAATAAATTTTTTATAAAATATACGATAGGATAAATGCAATTATTTTTGAAATTTTAAGTCATTTTAAATTCGGGTATAACACATTTTATGTAGTCAGCTTTTTGCCATCCACTCCAGACTAACCTTCCCACCGATTTCAGGAGACTCTTCCTATTTTTTATGTTTTTTTTTTTTGTATTTTAACACTTTGGCGCTTTGGTAGCGTTGTCAAGCGTGATTTCCGGCCAATGCCAACACTCGGCAGTGGCTCTACACTCTAACCCTCAGCTACATCGGTGCCGTTGCATGTCCAGCATTGTCCAGCTCTGTGGCCGCCATTTTGTGCTGAAAACTGGCCACTGGTGGTCCCGGAGCTGAAGACCGGACGGATATTTGCTCGTGCTATTTTTTATGAAAACCTTCAACTGTGCTAATTTTTGACATATTTATTTGCACAGTCGTTGCCAGGTTTTTCCTGCGCATTGTTACAATTGTTGCACACAGACACATACACATATACCTTCATTTTGTGCGTCAATTAATGTGGAAATTCGAGTATTCAGCATTTGTTAAAGTGACAGCAACAAAGGAAATCTCACGAATTCACGAATATTTAAACGATATTGTGTGCACAGCTTTTTATGAATATTGTTAAATCATCGGCACAAAAACCAAATTGAAACAAGTGAGAACGTTGCTGTCGGTCGTAACCGATTTCAGAATACTCTGATACATGGGTAGCGAAGAACCTTCTTGTGGAAGTGGGGTGGCGCGATTGGGTGTGTGCACCAAGACCATTTAAATATCATTAGTATGTCTTTCAAATTTTGTAACTCAATCTCAATATTTCGGATTTTTGATTTTTCTACAAGTCTTAGGTGGGGGAATTACTATGAATATAGGCTTTCACGATTTTTGTGGGTGGATACAACGTCCCTAAGAAATTTTTTTTAAAAATCTTAGGATGCGTTTTCTAGTGGCTGGTGCTTTTCTTGTGTCTTCGTTGCTTATTAAAATTATATTTCAGCTTTTATAAGAAAAATAACGGAACTAATGAATTTCGCAGTTTTGATTTTTATCGATTTGCGATTATCCATTTTATCGATCTAGCCACCCAATAGACAGTGTATAAAAGGGAACTTTTCACAGCAATAAAATCAAGCTATGTACGAATAAATGAAAGCAAAATATATAAATAATTCTTAATAGTTGGGTCTATGCAACGCGTATAGTATTTACACTATAAAATATAAATATAAATATATATTGATACATTTTTTTAATATGCTAAATTAATATTGAAAATATGTCAATGGCCTTGCTATCAATAGATTCACGGACAGTTAAAATATGCATTGCGAATAAAAAATTAAAAACCAACTGAATTTGTACATTTTATTGTCATTTCAATCGCTTTAAAATATTCCACTTCCGACAATTGTGCTCTTATTAATTCATTTAAAAAAAAGTATTTTAAAGTTTTGTGTGTTGTGGCAGCTGTTATTCGGCTTTTGTTTTGAATATTGCTTGTTATTATTATTGTAGTCATGTACCCTGAGTACATGAATTTTTGATCAGACCGAAATTTTCATGTAAATTAAATGAGAATAACTATCCGAAAATGCTACACACGTAAATATAATTTTTATTTTAAACCAAATCAATTTCTTCATTTAAAAGGAGGAACTTTCCAGAAAATGGGCTGAAATGGCATCGGAGGTCAGTCTGCTACTTGCCACAGATCTGGAGTTACCGGAGCATGAAAGACCCTTGCCATTTGATGCTGCCTTGGAAAAGTCCATTGAGGATCAACGGTATGTACTTTCTTTTCATAAATGTCTTTTTTAAATATACTTAAACAATATTGTGCTTGCAGCGAGGACTGCATGATGCGCTTAAATAAATTGCTGCGCAGCGGTAAACTGGAGCAGGCGATTGTCCTGCTGCGCTCTGCCAGGTGAGTGACCATGCGTGCTGGGGCCATGTCCTTTTCGCCACATTAAAATTGAGCAACAACTTGCAGCTGCAATCTTTTTGAACATTTCCCTTTTAATAACTTGACATTGACTGTTGGCCATTCTTTGACTACTTTTTGTGCCTGCCACTGTGCACAGGAACAAAAGAAATTCGCATAATAAATTAACTCAGGTGAGCGAAAATAAAAATGGCGAAGAGCACGAAGCAATATTCTTTATCCTTGCTCCTTGCTGTATTTTTCTTTTCGTTTTTCCCTGACTTCTTTTTATACCCTATAGCCATTAAAATGTAATAAAAAATTATATAATGAAGTTGCAAATTTATATATAAAACATAAAGATTTGCTTGTAAGCATCAAAATCGGAGTCCATCTATCTTTTCCTGTCTGTCTGTTAAATAACCGGCTTTACATCGAATATAAGATATTAGCCAAGTTTAAGATTGATACAAATCGATTACCGATAGAAATCAAAGCAATAATCCTTAAAAATCTAGAACTATATTTGTATATTTATATTGACAGCAGCAATATTAATAAAAACAATTTTAAAAATATGGAATTGCACACATAAATAAATATTTAAATACAGGGTAGCTGCAAGTCAATTTCTTTTGAGTAAAACATTTTTCACGCCTTTTTCTTTTTGTGTATGCGGGAATTTCATATTTTTTTCAGCGATTTTCATTGCACAGAATGTCCTTGGCTGTGGAGCAGCTCTGGTGCTGCTGTCCTTAAATTAAATAGTTTTTATTTATTGTTAAGGCAGCGCACGCCCGCATAGCACTGTTGGCCAGGTGTCCTGTGGTAACTACAGATAATGGTTGTGTGCGGAATTCAGTGTCCTTCTGCTGCTGTTGCTGCTGCGGCTTCTGCTTCTGCTACTGCTACTGCCGCTCATTATGTGCGACGATGGCAACGCAATCAGCTCAGTCACTGGCTTTAGTGCCTTCTGATTCGACTTGGGCATATGGTGTACGGGTCAGAGCTGAATGCGAGGCGGTAGTGAGCCTTTCCATTTAATTGCCAACTCAATTATGTAAAGCTCCATGTTTATTGTTTGTGCTGGAAAATGACGTGAAAATAAATCATTCATTTATCGTGCTGGCGCGTCAACATTTTAAGAACGCCCCCAACAGATGTGAGAAGCTGTCGACTTTATCGTTGTCAAGGCGCTTCCTGTCAGCAGCAGCAGATACAGCAGTAATCGAAATGTAGCTTAAATATTTTCAAGTCATTAATTTATCAACATCATTAAAATATACTACCTGCAGAGACGCGTTGTGTGTCAAAGGAATCGCCCAATTATGTATAGCCTTACCATTGTATATATTACACTATATATATTAATTTTAAGTTGCAAATCGCAGATGTGACTTTGCATAACTTTTCCTTATTCTCTCTGTGTGTGCGACATTATATAATGAAAGATGCTTTTGGCGACTACTTTACATGGAGTATACGCAATGTTTGCCATTTGCGCAGCCATATTTAAATTTATGTGCATTTTAATTGTTGAGCAACGAAATTGTTGCATTAAAATGTATGAAGGGGCAGTTGTTGTTCCTGTTGCTGCTGTTGCTGCTACAGCTTCTACTGCAGTGGCAGCTTAAAAAGGTCTAGACGCTTTTTGTGCTAATAAATTAAAATGCGATATGCATAGACCCTGAAAATACTGTTGCACCCACTCGCAGCCACTTCATCTGCCTTTTGTCTGCAACTTTTTTGTGCCCCGTTCTGGGCGGTTTTGGGCTTTGTGGTGTTTTGCTATAAATGTTTTTTTGTGTGTGTTGCTGCCGCTGCCTTCGAGTAACATTTTTGGGTAAACAAAATATTGAAAATAGACTAGAGTTGGGCACTCTCACACACACCACAAATGCACATGCGAATGCTCTGCATACATATGTGTCTGGCCTGGCATGTAAGTGCTTGCCTGCCAGCAATTGCCCTAAGATCCAATGAGTATGTGTGTGTGTGTGTGTGTGTGTAAGTCTATCCAGCATTTTAGTATACTACTTGCCAAGTCATACTATTATGTGTGTGTATGATGTTTTGTTGGTTGTGTCTTTTGCGTTTTCCATTTTAATAACAAAATGAAAAGGAAAAAAAATGTATAAACTGAAAACGTTTTGGTTTTTGTTTCGCTCGCCGCCGGGCTTAATGGCAGCGCCAAGCGCACAGAAATGTCAGCTTGAAAAAGTTTTAAGTGAAGTAAATGCGCCAAATGTTTATTCAAACTTCATTTAAGCTGCAACTTTCAGTTGGCCAACCCACCCACCCCCCACGCCACCAACTCAGCAACCCACCACCCCACCATCATTCGCCCAGTTGCCTTTTAACAGAGCTCATGTTCACCAGCGACTGTTCGGCATTCTTGTTTTTGCTATCTCGACGCTTATTTAGCACTGTTGCAATGTTGGCAGTCACTGCCCTGCATTTAAAGCTCTTAATCCAGCCCGTGGAGCACATTTAAGCAATTTGTCAAACGTAGCTAAAGAAATCAAATGCACATAATAGTTTTACACTTATATTTCGCCTTTAAAGTGCAAAGCGTACTTAAAATAATATTTTTTATTACCTTTTCCTTAGCACCTTTCATCAGTGCTGGCTTTAACAAGTTTTTGTTCAAAGAAAAATACCGTTTTCTCTTTTTTTTCACCGGCAAAGATGACATCGCTTAGCTTGAAAGGTAGTCAAGCGGATTTAGTACTTTATTCTCTCTTTTTTTTTTTCTCAGAATTTATAGAATATCTACGTAATTCCGCAATTGATATTTACATTTAACTATTCTTTTAACTCTTTATATGAAAATAAATAAATGTTTTTCGCATTTTTGAAGTCTTGGCTTGGAAAGTATTATCCAGGGCAATAGTTGTTGTTAATTTTAGTTTCAGCTGTTAGTGTCTCATCCATTTTTATTCTTACTTAGATCTTAAAGAAAAAACAATAATAATATACCACTTACCCCAAAAATACCGCCTATTTATCAATTTAACACTAATCATAATGTAACAGTTACAGTCATCCTTCAAAATCACTTCTAAAGAACACGTCATTTATGCTATAATGTCATAATTGAAAATATTTAGCTACTTGGACGTACATACATATTTTAATATGGAATATAGTATAAAAAATCATTACACATTATGAACAAACTTTATCACATAAATAAATATACTGTATATGGGTCTCATATTCAGCTGACTTTGCTTAATACATTCTTGAAACTAGCAGCAATTCTATTTTATTTTTTTCTCAGTCAAGTGTATGATTAATTAAAGAGGGTATCTCTGAATGAGGAACTCTCGGTAGAACGCCGCATTTTTGGTTAGCTGTTAATCGTGTGCGTGAAATCCGTGGTCACATATTTTTGCCGTACGGTCACTTTCATTATATTTTGTCCACACAGACTATGTTCGTTAGACTTTTGCGGCCTTTGTTTGTTCGGCATTAAAATGGCGAGCAGTTGCACATATTATTTGTCTGGTGTATTATAAACCAACATTTTGTGCTAGTCCCCATTGCAGATAAACCACTAATTAAGCGCTCAAAAGCGCACAACTTGGCCATAAAATACATATGTTCAAGCATTGTTTTTGTACACTTTTGGACACGCCAGCAGCCTAGTTAGCAGTTGCAGTTGCAGTGCAATAATGAGTTAGTCTGGCAACAGCTAATAAGTTGTTACCAAAATAGGATGCAATAACGAAATGTGGCCAAATATAGCGAAATGTGGCATGCAAAAATATAGTTGGCTGCACTGAAAGGTGTCGCCTTTGCTGTCTCTATGTATTTGCTGTGTGTGTGTCTGCGTGAGTGTGTGTTTGTTTTTCCTGGGTGGCAGGTGTCATGTGTGTCAATTTATTGGCGCTTGACAGCGGTAAGCATAAGTTGCACTATCGCCCACAAACACACAACGGCAACTAAACGAAATGGCCCAAAGCTCCCAACTCGCTGCCTGGTTGCAACAGATATCTGGAAAGAGCGGCAACTTGCATTGCCAAGAATCTGTTGCCAGTCGATAAATGTGAATTTCTCTTTCCCTCCCCGGCTCACTCTCTTTCTCTCTCTCTCTCTCTGTCTCTCGTGCTTCGACTCTCTATTTGTATGCGAGTTGCATATTAAGCTGCTTTCAAATATTAAATTAACAACGCCAGCAACAGCAATGGTTGAAAACACTGCAACTGGTGCATGTGCAACACACAGACGAGCAGGCTGGCAGGCAAGGATTATTTGTGCCCCGTATGAAAAATAAAACCCCAAGTGCAACAACAAAACACGTGAGCAGTTTCTCTTCTGCAGTGTGTGCGTTGTGTAACACGAGGAATTTGAACGCAATTTAAAACGCATCAATTTCATTTTGTGAAAGCTAAAAGCTCCGCTTGTTGCATGTCCTGCGTACGTATTGTGCAACATGACGTTGCTGCTGTTGTTGACATTATTTTCGTAGCTGCTGCCGACTTGACGCTTTTGCAGCAATGGTTGCTTGATCTATAGGCCATGGCTAAATGTTCAAGCTTAAATTAAATTTTGGCTAATATTCAATTTGTATCTGCAAATTTAAATTGAGTTATGTAGCCAGTATGACGTGCTGCCCGTTAAACTCTGCCAGCATCCAACTACTTTCCTGCCTGACGCGTATACATAAATACGTATTTTAAAAACAGCCAAATCGATTTACCATGCTATTTACGTAGTTGTGGTTGGTCGTCAAAGGGGCTTGTTTTAACTGACAAAAGCCATAATAATATAATTGTATATGAACCGGATTATATTTTGTTCTTCGTGGAAAAATGCTATCTTAATCACATGTCTAATATTTATATCATAGGGCATTCATGGGAACTATCGGTCAAAAATGCAGTTAATTATCAGTTTTCGTTTAACAATGATTAGCAATGCGTTGTTGTCTGATTCTTCTATCAATATTATTGAATGTTGCCTGTACAATTTCCGATAAGGGACAACATTTCATACATTCAACATTTATCAAAAGAAACAATCAAATTTATATGTAAGCATCCCATAGATATCTTTTTACACTCAAGTTGCTTGCAAGCAATGTCGACTAGTATTTGACAAATTTTGATAAAGTTCAAGCAAGAATATGACACGAGAGTTTATGTAATGAAAACTATTAAAGCTTTCGCACATCGAAGATAAGTACATTCCATTCACTTAATACTTAAGTTGAACTTTATCATTTCGCAGGGAAGTTTGGCCAGAGGAGGATGTTTTTGGCTCGTATACCGCTGCACCAGAAGATGAATGGCTGCTGTTGCGTGAGATTTTCATGCACAACATTACAACAGGTAAGTGCTGATGCTGCTTGTTAATTATTGTCTATTGTTATGCATTATGAAGCGACAACCTCGCCGTCGTGGTATGATCGTTCTTTTAATTAAAAATTAAAATCTGCCACTGTCATTTATCTTGCAGTGCTTCTCTCAAGCCCGCAGTCCCAATTTACCCATTTATCAGCTGGATTCTAGCTAATTTCAGCGCTCTATTTTGCATTTCTCTACTCTATAAATTTGTTTGGCTGAAATAAGCCAAATTATAGCGCAACTTTCAGCGATGGTGTTTTACGCGCTCTCTCTCTCTCTCCATTTTCTCTCTCTCTCTGACATACTCTCCATCTATCTCCTCTCTTTCTCGCTTCTGTCTGTGTCTGTATCCTTGTTGCACTGCGCCTGGTGCTGTCTAAGTTATTTCACTGTTTCCTTTTGGCTTTTTGCCTTTTGGCTGTCCTGCGCTTAACAAATTATCCAGCTGAAATTCTTGCGCTTCATTAAAAGTAAAAAATGGTAGTACAGGACGACTGGCCAACCTACTGTTGCCCCAGCTACCTCGGCACCCTGCCCCTTCCCTGACTCTGTAATTCAGTAGTCAAAAGCGGATGACTTTGCTCTCTGCCAAATGAAAATATATTAAACGCGTAATTGTTTTTTTTTTTGTTTTGTGTCCTTTTTTTTTTTTTTTTAATTTTCTGTTCTGCGAAGTGCATTGGGTTGTAAAATTTGTTGTTTGCGTTGTCGCTTCATTCGATTCGAAAATTCTAGGAAAATTTCACAATTTACTGTCCATTTGCTCAAAGCCCTAGCAAAATATAATGCTTGGCTTACGAGGCACACGCTTACATGACTTTTCAATTTTCACTCGGTTATCTCTTGTTTTTATTCGCATCCCAAAAATGCACATGTATAAAACATACATAAATATATATATAACTATATATATTATATATATACTCGGTACGACTTATTGCTGTCAATTCATTTTGCTGCTGTGCACGTGTATTCTGTGCAGCCCACCTTGTGCAACATTTTAACCTAAAAGTTTTTGACAAGCGTTTTCAAACATGGCTCGCAGTTTTCCATGAAATACGAGCATATAGCTATCATACACGGATGTAAGTAATATATTGCACAAAAGACGTTGCCGACGGTAAAGTTTTTTATAACTTTGATACTTTTTGCAGATTATCAACATTCTTGGGTTTTTCGAGGGTAATTTACAATACGGAAAATGACTTTTTTAGATCACTGAATGAATGAATGAAGTTTTGCTTTTTATGATTTAATTAACAGCTCTAACTTTTACAAAAACATAAATTAATTAAAATGATTCGTATGTAATTAAATTTTCGTTTTATTTGCATTGCTTGGCTGCTCATATTATTCATATTGGATATTTTGTTTATTTTTTGGTATTCTGTTAGTTTTTATACAAACTTTCGATATCTATGTGGATTTTCATGAAATTTAATACGTCTCACTCAGTTGAATTTTTTAATTAAATTTTCTTTCTGTCGATATTCAGGGATTTAAATAAAATTTATTTGTATTAAACTTAAATGCAAATCAATTTTGTGTATAGATATAGACATTAAACTTTCGACTCTTTTAAAGTATTTAATGCATATTTCAAAAAGTGAGTGCACCCTTTATCACTTAGATTGTTGCTGTCTGTGTCCTCAAGCGCTTAAAACAGTGTCCTCTGCGTTTCTGCGTGCAAATGAAAGAGAACACGTTTGGCTCAAAGCGATTGAATCCTTTTGTGTCTGCGTTATTGTTTTAAGCTTTCAGCTCGTTAAGCCCCGGGCAAAAACCGCGCCCCATTCTAACAATGGGTGACCATGGGATTTGCTGGGCAGCTTAACGCCCACAGGGCCAGCCAGTAGATTGATGGTCAGTTGACAGTATTCCGGCTATAACAATGTGCAATATACACGTGTCATAAAAAGTGAAAAAATCAAACAACAAAGCATGAGAGATCAGCTTGACTATGAGATGCTCTGTATTTCATACACACACACACAGTTATTTACAAACATACTAATATATGTAAATAATTAGAGAATAAAATGTGTTGAAACTAATTCTACACAAAAATACAAATTCACAATCAACTGAAATTACATAATACATTTTTAATTTGTATAGAATATGTATTTTATTTTTGTTAATTGATGTTTATGTTGCGTTTGAAATGACCCTAAATTGACTCCCATCTCAATTTTAATACTCTTATGCTATTATGCTCGAGGGTATTATGTTAATACGAATATTAAATGCTGATGCTAATGTCGAGTCCTGGGACCCATGCGTCGTCGGTCCCCAAAGTGTCCTTTGATCAGTCTGCGTACGTTGTAGTCAGCTTTTGTCCTGCTCGGGATTTTATTAATTACCGGCGACCACAAGCTGCATGTTGCAAGTGCATGTCGCGCGGTTTTCGTTTAATTAATATTTTTTTATTTGGTATTTATTTTTGTTTCATGTTTTAGTGCGTGTTTATTCGCATTATTTTATTTATTTGAATTGTATAGGTCGACAGACAAGCCCAAAACTGAATTGACATTTTAAATAATTTATTGAGTGCGCCAATTGTGGTTTTGCATATTGTTTCACTTTTAATTTTCATTTCAATTGAATTCGTTGTCAATTGCGTGTGCGTATGTGGGCTATTTGGGGCTGCAGCGAATACGCTTAGTTAAATCTTAATCAAGTCGCCTTACTGATTTCGATTTGTGGCACGCATAATAAATGACGATGAACCCCGTCCACTTCCTGGAGTCAAATCAGCAGCCAGACTCGCCCAAAAATAACACAAAAATCCACTCAAGTGGTAAAGCAAAAAAAAAAGAAGTGCAGAGTGTTAACGGAGACAGTGCTGGTTAGAGTATGTGTATATGTGTATATAAATATATGGGTTTGTTTCAAGCCAAGTTCTTAACTGATTTCCCAGCGCAAGCAAGTCGGTCGCTCGTTGTTGTCCTGCCAGCCAGTAAGCCCGGCTGCCAGCGTCGTGTTTTCCCCTCTTCCAGTTGTTTGTCTCGCATAAAAATACAAAGTTTATGTTATGAACACAAATAAAAACAAAAGCATACTCAACAAAACTCGCCAAGAATAACAGAAAGTGCGCGTTTGTTGTTGGTTGAAAAAGAGCCAAATAAAATACAATAAAAAGAAATAAAATATCCACAAAACACAGTCGTACAACACACACTCGCTCAGTACATTTGCAACTTGCCAGTGCTTCAACGGCTGCCACAACCACAGCCACCGCCACAGTCAAAGCCACTTACTCTCATGTGTCTGTGTGTGGAGTTGTATTCAAGGACCTCCTTTGCTGAGTCCAGCAAGTATACTTACTCAATTAGGTGACACGAACTGGCGCTGGCTTGTCACTGATTTGCCTTTCACTGTGGCTTTGCCGTTTGCCAGTTTTATATCTCTCCTTTGCTCCTTAATAGCTTCAATTTGTTTATCATCATTGGGTTAGGTATCTTTGCGTCTGGTTGCTAGTTCAACTTGTGCTGTTTCAATTAATGCGCTAATTCTTTTCCATAACTTGATTAGGTGGACGTCAAATTGAATTGATGTCATTTGTTTTGATTATATTTTATTTAAATCGTTATTTATTTCGTTAATATTTTGAATCATAGCTGAATTAAATTTTATTGTAGTGTTTTTTATTATGTCTAAATTAATTTTATTCTATAACTGAAAGTTTCTATATTCTGTACTCACTGCAAATGCAATGCTGCTGAACATTTTATTTTTTTGAATCTTTATGGTGTAGAAAAAGCTGAAAATGTATTTTCAAGCCTCTCACCTGAGGGCTGCTCAACAAACACCTTTCTCCAGAGACTGGCCACAGCTGGCGGCGGTTACATGCCAAACAACATTGAAGAAGAAAAAAAAACAGAACATGTGAAATTTAAAGTTTAAATTGAAAAACAAAACTTGCAGCGCTTTCGTATTCCCAATGTCGTCTTTCGTGTGGGCGGTGTTTAAATAAAATTTGTCAATGTGGTGCCTGGGTTTTCGGGCTGGTAGAATAAGGGGGTTGTGGAGGCAGTGTCGAATTTTACCTCTAGTAAACATAAAACGATGCACACTTTGGGGACGCAGCCCCGCAACTGGGCGACAATAAAAAGCAAGCAAAATGTGGAGCATGGGGCAAAAGTCATAACGAGTGCAAAACCATGAAATGAAATCGTTACCGCCCCAACCCCTTACTACCACACTCTGGCCAACCCAAACGCGTGTATTTTTTTCCGTTCCATTCTCTTGCTCTGTACGCAAATGTAGCAAAAAAGAAACTGCTGTGTATAAAATGCGAATTCGTTTTTTCTCTTGTGTGTTTGTGTGTGTGGAACACTGCTCTTCACATTTGACATTTACTTTTATGTATGTATGTAAGCATGTGTTTGTGTGTGTGTGTGTGTCACACGCCTGGCTGCTCTGCTGGCCCATGCATTTATGCTGCAGAGAAATTAAGCAATGTGTCCCAATGGAACACTACGTTGCGTATACGTAATGCGTCGTTGCTTTTGGCTTCGCTGCCAGCGCTGCATTAAATATGAATGCAATTTAAAGTTGAGTGTATGTGTGCTGCTTTTTTATTCCACATCAGTATCTGCCCAGGCCCAAACAGCCGCAAAAATTGTTTGCATATGTATATATATATATATAAAAAAAGTAAAGAATTACGTAAGTTTGACTTTTGCTCTACCTCCACAATGTTTTTTCGTTTGACTGACGCTAATGGAGCGCCATTTGCCTGGTATGTAACGTGGCTATGGAATCAATTAGACAAAGTTTTTTAACAACTCTGCGCACACACAGACATTGGTGCACTCATGCATAAAAATGTATACATATATGTAAACGTATAGTGCAAGTATTTTAAATTTGCTCTTTAGAGCGTTCGCGCAACAAATTGCGTAAAAATGAACAGTTCAATAATGCCCCCCTTAAGCGTCTACCCCCTCTACAGATGCAACTTAATTTAAAATGCCACATTCCTCATGCCAATTCCACAGCACAATGCTCAATTAAGGCTGCTGAGTCGGCGACTTTAATATATGTTTTTTTCAATATTTTTAAAGTGGAATGCTTTTAAGGTTCTTATTTGTTTAATAAATATCAATGACTTTAACTTTTTCTTCCCCAATTTCCTGCTTCAGCTCGTGTCAAAAAAAGACGACGATGACATCATAATAATATTACCCCAAGCCCTTAGCTGTCATATGCTCGACAGCAACGAATTTCGTTATGCTTATTGGTATTATATGTTTTTTGTTCTTTTTTTTTATCATTAACCTTTTTATTGGCAACAGTTGTTGGCCTCCATCGGCCCGTAAGCGTATGCGAGTTTTAATGTGACTGAAACCTGCGTCCGTCTTGCTGCAATATTGAATATTTCATCTCTGACCCAACACCGGAATTGATATATACCCCATGCCTGGTAGCTCTGAGCGCCGCCCAACGACTATTGTTGGTCCCCAGAACAAGAAAGCAAAGAAAATAACAAAAGAGCCGCCAAAAGGGCGAAGAGAAAAACAAAAACCAATTGACTTTCATTTTGTCGGCAATTTTCATAGCGTCGTTTGTGTAGCGCAGCGGTTTACACACACACACCCACACCCACACCCACACCCACACCTACACACACACACCAACAAACACACATCCGTGCGCGTTTCCTGTTGCTGGACGCAATCATCTGATTGCAGTTCAATGTGAAATAATTGGATTTGAAATAAAAATGTTCACTGTTTTGTTTTGGCCGTGTTTCTATGTGACCCCTAACCAACAAGCTTGTCATGTTCTCTTGTGTGCTTGAGTGTGTGTATATATATGTGTGTGTGTGTGTGTGTATGTGTGTGTGTGTTTGTGAGTGACTGTGTTATTGGCATAATTTAGTTTTGCTTTTATGCATGTCGTCGTGCTTAACTGTCACATGCGTCACTAATTTAACGTTTATTTTTATTGGCCATGTGCATTTGACCAGATCTTCATTATTAACGTAAATTGGTGATTATTTCCTGTTTTTCCTGAATCCTTGAAGTAGTCAAGATGTTTACTTGTACTTTAGATTGTCCATGTGAGATTATCCGACTGCAATATATCCATTAATAGTAGATTATGTTCATGTTTGTTGTTTAAAAAAAAACCATAGTATTTCAAACTTATATTTGAATTTGCCCTGTTTAAAAAATATATATCTTATGATTTTTTTTATAATTAAATAATATTCAGTTTTTATTTTGGATTTCTCTTTCGACTGCCATTAAAATGCTCACTTTGAGAAGTTCTCTTATAGAATTGTCGCCTTCTCTACAGTTGTTCATGTATTGTTTGCTATTTATACTTATCAACTATGTCCATAGTACATATAATATTTAGTTTATTAAACTTTTATTGATTTGATTTGATCTAACAACGACTGGGTGGCACAATCTTGGCCGCACTAGTGTTGGCAAACGCTTTAATTTCGAAGAGCTAAATACTACACAATAATGTTTATAATTAGGTTCAGTAAACTACTTATTTACAAATACACACATAAATCAATTTTCGGTTTTGGCAAATGCTTTTGTATCTACTCGTGTATTTCAAAATTGTTGTTAGCCTTCAACTGTATAACTGGCCGCTTCTAATGGGGGGGCGTTGCATTTGTTTAAACTGAATAAATATTCAAACTTTGTAAATAGAATTGTTTGTTTAATATTTTATTTACTCTGCTCTATGGTAGAATGCGCTCTTGTTTTTTTTTTATTTTTTAAATATATATTTTTTGTATACTATATAGATTGTTCGTATATATATTTGTTTTTGTTTTCTGATTTTTTTTTTACTTTTTTTTTTTTTCCTGGCTACAAACTATGCATCAAATATTTGGCAATTAGTTTTTGTTATTTACTTGTTGTCGCTTGATTTTATTTTTGTGGCTTGTAAAATGCGCAAAATTAAATGAAAATATTTGCGCTGTGTCTTATTGTTTTTGTGTTCGTTTCTTAACGTTTATTAAGCACTGAATATTTTAAATATTTTGTTTTTTTTTGTATGTACAGCACAATTAAGTTTAATTATTGTTGTTTTCTGTTTTTTTTCTTTTTTTTGTTCTTGCTCGATTGAGGATTGTTTTACATTGTTGGCCATGTTCAATTATGTGCTAGCTATTTACGAGCCAGCATCCGAATGGCCAAATGGCCGTTGGCCAAGCAAAAAGCAACTTATTTTCACATTACTTGCCAAATCGCCCCACATTTATGGGCACCAAAATGTCGGCCAGAATAAAGGCCATTTAGCAGGCAAATAATTACGCTGGACTCAACAAAACTTTATTAACTGCGCCAGCAACTGGCCGAAAATTCCAGACTCTGTTTGGAATGCGACCCAAAAGTGTCAAATATCGAATTAACTCATTGCAGTCGTTGGCCAGCATACACTGAACTAAAAAGTTACTAAATCTTGGCCAGCTGCGCATGTCATAAGCAAGAAAACCTTCATTAAATTTGACAATGCCTGCTCCCACACTCTATTGTGTGTGCATGGCTCATTGTAGTCCAGTTTTTCTGCTTTGCTGGCAGAAAAGTGTGTGTGTGTGTGTGTGTGTGTGTGTGTGTGTGTGTTTGTGTGTAGAAAAAGGCTGCCATTCCCACTTCTCCAATGCTCGAGAAAGGCAGCCTGACACTTGCCCACTTGGAACTTCCTTAATTAAGATTTTGTGCGTCCATGACGTCCATATCTTGCCCCCATGCCACTCTCTTCTGACCCGAAATTCGGGCTGTAGATTGTTGGTCAGCATTACTTTAATTGTTGTTAGCCCGCTTTGCTCGAGCATTTCGCTTTTGTGGCCAAAAATAAATCCTTCTGAATTGCTTAAGAAGAAACGCATGAACGCCTCTTTGTCCCCTTCCGCCCGACTTCTCCGCCTTCTCACTCCTTCTGGTCTTATCTATCTTCCTGTTGCTGTCGTTGGTTTTGGCCGTTGTGTTGTATTCCAATTACAAAGCCACAAAAAGTTGAAAAACTGTGCAATGACTGCGGCTTTGGGTTCTTACGGTTGTTGCCGCTTTCCTTCTTAGTTGCTCGCTGCTCCTGCTGCTCACTAGATTGTTGCACAACTTTTTATCGTGTCTTAATGTAATTGTTGTGTTGTGTTGTGTTGTGTTCTGTTGCGTTGTGTTCTGTACTACTGCCTCGCTTGCTTGCCACCTCCCCGCCCATTTCATTGCCACACACTTTGCTACCCTCGTGAAGTTGTTGCGTTTCTTGTAATTTGATTTGCTGGCACATTATTTTGATGTCGGCCTTAGCAGCTTTTCTTGCTGTCAGAGTGAGATAGAGGGGGGTGGGGTGTAAGTGAGTAAGATCTCAGACATTGCCATTTTTCACATATCTACAAAATAGTTTTACAACATTTCACATTTGCCGTTGCGAATTAGTTGTCTGCCCATTTGGCTGGATTTACACCATATGTCCTGCTCTGGTCAATTTAGAAATTGAGGTTAAGTGGGTACGCTGGGGGAGGGGGGAATGTTCGTTTTTTTTTTTTTGTGTTCGACAAGTGCCAAATAACGACAAATGGGTCGCAACAGGAGGGGTGGCTAGCTGCTGAGGGGTGTCGATACCAGACAACAAAAGCGGGGAATAAGAACAGAATACATCTTGAAGTATTTCTGCAAGTGCGTTGCAATTTTAATTAGATTGCAGGCAGCTGTGTAAAGTGGGTTAAAACCAGCTAGAGCAATTGACTTTAAAAGTCTATTAACAACGAGCAAAGAGTTGTTCGAAAAAGGGAAAATCTAACAAGAGTTTTTGTTTCAAGTGGAAAGTGAATTCAATTTACAGTTCTGCTTTACCCATTGACTACTGAGGGTCTTAGTTGGGTTTACTGCATTTATAGAATCGACTAATTGAAGTACGAGAAAGTCAAGGCACACAAAAGTGTAAAACATTTAACTGGGCTATGTTTAGTTTTTAATTTAAATTGATTGAAATAGATGTAACTAAAAGTATTAAGGAAAATAATTGTCAAACAATTGTCTTTAAATTTAAATATTTTCTGATTCTTTAACACCATTCTGTACGAAAGTAAAAAAAGTCAATGAAATGTATCCAAACTATTATCTCGAAGTATGAAAACGTATTAGAATATCAAAGAAATGTTTACGAATGCAAATTGATTGTTTGGACTATGATGTGTGAAAATATATAAGTAACTAAGAGCGATTTAGAATGCCAATAAAATGCATGACAACTGAGTTATTAATAATGCGAAAATTATTGAATGTTGAAAAATAGTAGAAATAAAATTATTTTTCTATGTCAAACAAATATGTTACAAAGAGGTTATCCCCTAATTTTGTTCATTATTAACGTTACATTCATAGCAAATTGAGCTGAGTTTTTTTTTTGCTCAATTTAGAGCTTGTAATGCGCCCTGATTGGTCGAGTCTTCACGGGCTTTTGTCATAAACTAAATTGTTATTTAATACTTTATCGATATATTTCATTTTTATATGCATGACTATCAAAGCACTTAATCTTGGCCAGCGGACAGGCACTTATACATATATAAAGTTAACTGGACCACGCACAACACACACACCAACACCCACACTCACAGCCACACATAGGCAGGCAGACAACGTAAACTGACCCAAATACGACCACAAGATGGACATCAAATTGAGGGGCGGAGGTGAAGGAGTTTGCCTGATGGCCCATAAAAAGTTGCAAGCGATGGCTATTTGGCTATTTGGCTGCTTGGCTGCTTGGCTGCTTGGCAGCTTGGCTATTTGGCTGCCTGGCCGCTACATGCGGCGTATACGTAACGAAACTTTATGACAAATTGTTGCTGCTAACCTAGACGTTAAGAGGCCTGCCACGTGTGTGCGGCCACGATGAGCCATAAATCAAGACTAAGACTATGTACATCAGCTCAAACTAAACATATATATAAATATAAATTTATATATATATATATATATTGAAGCGTGTTTGAGTATTTCTTCATTTTAGTTTGACTGGTTGCCCTCATGACTCATTTTGTCTTTTCTTAGAACTATAAAGAATGATTATTTTCTATATATCTATATATGCCATTCGGCTGCTGATTTCACTGAAAAGTTGCATATTGTCGCTGGCCAAACACGGTTTGTCACCAGATGTTCAAGCGTCGCGAGCTGGGCGCCATCAGTTTGCTGCTAACCGAACGCAGCGTCGTTGCCGAGCCACCCATCTCTGTGGCAGCCACTGCATCACCAGCAACTCGGTCCACATTGCGACGCAAATTGCTGCTCAACAGCTCCATGGGCAGATTGGATTGAATGCAGATAGGGGAAGCAGCTGGCATTGGAATGCTGGGCGCCATCTCAATGTAGTAGTTATCCTCATTGGAGGGCGAGTGCAGACTGCTGCGACTGCTGCCCGAGGATGCAGTGGAGCTGTCCGCCAGTGAGGCGCTATAGAACTGTAGCTTCTGCTGCTCTCGCTGCAGCTCACGTGCCTGGAGATTATGCAATGGGGAGCTGTAGGGTGCCTCCCTTCTGGTGCTGTGATGCCAGGCGTGCAGACGTGCAGGGTCTGCATCGACTGATCCCAATACCGATCCCGTTGTCGATCCCTGATAATGCAGGAAACTGCGCACATCGTCGCTCTCATTCAGATGGCGCTGATGATGTTGGTGATGCGGTCGCATCTGACCCGTGCGGCCATTGCGCTGCCAAGGCAGCTCACAGCGATAGACGTGTGCTAGTCCCGCGAGCAGGACAATGACCAAGATGCAGGAAAGAAGTAACATCAGGCCGGGATGACTACCAGTTAGCGTTTGTTGCTTTTCCTGTCGCTGATCCAACAATTGGGCGGACTTGGATGCCTCCGTTTTAAGTTCCACAAATGCCTTGAGTTGAGCAAAGGTATTCAGCTCCTGTTTGAAAGCATTAGGAGTATTCACACTGCTGTGCTGATGCTGTTGCGGAGATGTTACTGCTGCTGTTGGAGATATAGCTGCTGCTGGCGGATATGTTGCTGCTGCTGCTGGCGGAGATGTTTCTGCTGTATGTTTGTAAGTGGTGTAGGTCATTTTCTTAATGCTCAGCGTCGGCTTCTTCTTGTGCAGCTTTGTGTCCGACTCCGACTCCGTCTCAAGTTTCCTATTCATCTCCATTTCATGTGTTGCCGTCCTTGTGTCGCCATTTATTTCTTCCGCTGACTGTCGCTTATCAGTCGCTTCCTGTGCTGGCTGCTGATGCTGCTGCTGGCTGGCACCGAATGCTGTTTCCGCATCCGCCACTGTCGCCGTGCCTGGTAGTAGCAACTGTTCTGCATCCACCAGCAGATTGTCGCCCTGGTGCATCAGCAGCGGTGTGCCGATTAAATGGCGATCCTTAATATTCAGCTGCAACGTGGCATGTTTATGTTGCATGGGCTTCTCCACCAACTTTGTCTCCTGACCGGAACTGTCCCTATGCTTTGTTGTTATTGTTGCTCTTTTGCCTGCTGTCTGTTTTAATAAACTCTTGGCTGCTTTATCAACATTTTTTGTGTCTTCCTCATGTTTTGCAATGTTAGAACTTAAAAGGGGCAGGATTGTTGTAGTCTGCGATGCTGTTGCTGTTGCTGCTCTCGTTGTTGTGGCGACCACAGCAACATTGCTAATGTCTGTTGGCATGGCGAGTCTAAGCGGCGGCGCTGCTGCTGCTGCTGCTGTTGTTGTTGCTGTTGTTGTTGTTTCTCTTTCTGTTAAGCTGGTTGCCAAAATGTTTTTTCGCTTCTCAGCGCGTGTTGCTGTTGCTGCTGCTTCAGCGTGGTACAAACTTGGTATGCTTGCGGCTGTTCGACTGGCAACTGTTGTTGGTGCAGTTGCTGTTGCTACTGCTGCTGTTGCTGTTTTTGTTGCAGTTGGCATGGTCGGCATTTGCTGACTCTGCTCTTGCACTAACGAAGTTGTTTCAGCTGGCCCAAAAGTTTTTGCGGTTAGCAACGCAATGTTGTTGCCGTTTGATTGCATAGTTGTTGTTTTTGTTGTGGTTTTTGTTGTTGTTGTTGTTGCTGTTGTTGTTGTTGCTGTTGCTGTTGTAAGTAGTGCCTTTGACTTTTGCACTTTTGGCACAGTTCGTTGCGTTGTTGTTGCTGATAGTATGCCACAAGCTGGGGGCATTGCTGACTCCACTGCTGCCTCAGATTCATTTCGCCCACAGCAACTGCAATATTTATCGTTGAAGTGCTGCAATTGCACATAGCGCTGCTTCAAATCAATGCTGCCCGTCAATTGACCCAAATCGGGACTGCGGCAGGGACTGGCCCACTCGGCCATGCCCAAGAGATCGCTGCACCTGATCGGATTATCCTCGAGGAGTAGATCGCGCAGTTGGGGCAAAGTGTGCACAATCGACTGACTGACGCTCTCAATGCCCGCCGACTGCAGATTCAGTGTTAGCAGATTGGGCAGCGGCAGTGCCGGTAAATACAACAAACGATTGCCCGACATGTCCAGTGTTTTCAAATTCTTGAGGCCGACAAATGATTGCGGTTGCAACTCCATAATGCGATTGTGCTGCACAAAGAGATGCTCCAGCGATGGGGGCAAATCGTTTGGCACACGCACCAGATTATTGTGATCCAGAAAGAGCAATTCGAGCAGCTCCAAGCGACCAAGCGCATCGTCCTCCACCTGAGCAATGCGTGAGTGTGACAAATCCAGGTACTGCAACAAGGGATAGCTGTCCAAATCGCCACAGTTAATTGACTGCAAAGATGAAAGACAGACATTTAATAGTTTCACAATATTGTTTGGTCCATTGTGTGTCCATCTTAATAAGTAATTTCGGCACACAATTCTAATTGAAATATATGATTATTAAGCATGCCAATGACTACTGCATCATATGGTACACAAAAACAAAAGAATTGTTTATTTTTTTGCAACATTTCAGAAATTGGATTTCTTACAATTTGTGCATAAAAAATGTTTAGAATCAGAATTTCATTTATCTTCTAAGTAAATTTAGCTAAGAACTCGTTGACCTTTGCAAACGCAAGTGAATGTTCTTAAGTCAAAATCTGTCTGGCTTCGTTAAGCTTTAAGAAACTTTTGAGTGAGTCTGGGAAATTTGATTAGTAAGATGAGAGCGAGTGAGTGACTTGCTGACATTGTTTAAAAATTAACTTGAATCAGCCGTTATAATTACTTCAAAAGCTGCTCGGACGCCATTTGCCCCTTTTGGTAGTTGGCATTGCCTCAAGCACCGTTCGTCTAGGGCCAAAATGTAAACATAGACGCAACTCATTAAATGAAACAAGCGCCAGGCACAAAGCCAACCAACCAGTCAGCCAGCCACTGAGTCAGTCAGTGAGTCAGGCAGCCAGACAAGCGACCAACCGAACAGCCGCTGTCGATGCCCTCGGGCGTCGTTGCCACAGATGGGGCAGGAAGACGTTGACGTCGGTGTCGACGGTTGCCTCTAAACGCCATAATTTGCCATGAAAAGGCTGCGTGTTGACTGCCGATAAAAGGGCAGCAGGAAGAAGCAGCAAGGAGCAGCAGCGGCAGTTGGGTTGGTTAAGGAATGGCAGACAAATTAAAATGCCTGCTGCCTGGAAACAAAAGAAGAAGCAATTGCAACTAGTTGGGCACTGTCGCTGTCTTAGCCAGGTCTCAGCTGCTCGTTGCCTGTTGGCTTAAACGCGATTATGCTTATGCCAATTATACTTATTTTATTAATGCCCAGCGTCAAGTGTGCGCTTTTGTCTCTTCGTCGCACAGCACAGCACAGGACAGCTTACCAACGGCTTTTTTTTGCACCTTTTATGCCATTTGCCATAATCGACAACGGCAGCAGCAGCAGCAAAGCAGCAGCAACACCAACAGCAATTTATGAGTCGTATTTGTTTTTCCTGCTGTACTTGAGACGGCTTTAAGCTTGGTTAATACCTACAGGAAGCCTCTAAACGGCGTTGACGTTGATTTATGCTTATACTACAGCAATCTGACGGAAACTCTGTTAGCTTTTTTTCTAAATCTGTTTACCGTTATAGTGGATGCTTTGTTTTTTTTTTGTTTCTACTTGCCAACTAAAGTTGGCTTTTGCAAAGAATCCTTTTTCAGTCGCTAATCGCCAGCTTTGTGCATGTCTCTTGCTGACTACCCCACTCGCTGACGGCTTTTGATCTATTTTTCTTGCATTGTTTTTTTTTTTTAACTCGACATTTGTGTGAAGTGCACTTAGCGCTTCCATTATGTGGCTGCATTGTGCTTTTAATTATGCTCCGGCGCTGACTAAGTGGCTAGCTAAGAGCTGTCCTAACTGCTAACACAACAGCGACAATAAATTTATTCCGGCTTTTATAAAGTTAGCACATTAAGCTCGTTTAATTGTAAGCAAAATATAAAGTAAATTAAGATTTACTTGAAGAGATACAAAATAAAATATATAAAAAATATTTTTATGTAAATATGTTCTTTACGATGTGAAGGTAAATAATAATAATAAAATAAATAGTCACTTATGAATATGTAATATACAGGATCGAAAAACCCTCTGCAGTTTATTACAAAATTTGGCCCAAAGTCCAGCGTATTTAAATCCAAATAAAGGGAACAATTCTGGCTTTTAAGAACTGTCTAACGTATCAATTAATCCATAAAAAAAATGAAACGTTTTATTTTTACCGTCAGAGCATTATAATCAATAATGTATAGGCATAAAGTTTCCGTTTTGCATTATGAATCCCTATGCTAGAATTTAGCGGCACATAAAATTATTTAAGACTCGGTGACAAACTCTCGCTGGCTCCCAACCACCCACGTCCTCATTGAAGCAGGAAGTGCGCGAACGAGAAGGCAACCAAAATGGCGGCGTAAATTTAAAAATAACAAAGTGTAAATCATACGCCTGGGTGAGATTTTTGCGTGGGTAATTGTGACAGGGAACTGGCAACAGGGAGCAGACACAGGGCACCACAAGGCACAGGCGCACTCAAGCACGCAGCGCAGACACGAACCGAACCAAAACGAGCCGAACCAAACCGACATGCGTCCCACAAAACAGATGCTAATTAATGGCAGCAACGGCAACCAACGGCGAACGGGAGGAACAACTCCAAAGCGCCAGCACCCTAGCACTGGGGGGAGGCAAAGAAAAATCGTGTCGGTGGCGGCATAAGCAGCGGCTGCTGTTGCGAATGTGCCGTTAATTGCCGACAAAAGCGTCAAAATTGCGGTTCATTGGCTGCATAACAGAAAGACAGACGAGCGGACGGAAAAAAAAATGCCAGACAGAGCCGAGGCAGCGGCATCTGCATACGCCCGATGGACATGCTAATTTATTGATTACAGAATCGAGCTGCGTATAGTATTTTTAGGAACAACCCTCCATTCCCCTGTGTGTACACTGTGCACAATTTAAGCTAAAATTTATAAAACTTTAAAAACGTAGAGGTATGAAGACAAAATTTTAAGATACATTTAAAGTATGAAAAGAAGTCACGAAATACAGAATGGTGTAAATTTAACTAAGTGAAAATGTTTAACATTTTCAATGTTGTGTTATTCACAAAAACTTTTCAGTTTTCTTAGAATTTTTAGTAAGAAATATTGGCAGGCGGAGCCGGACTGTCAATTATTTCTCACGAAAACATACTTATTTAAATTATATTCTTATAATAAATAGAAATCAAAGTTTTGGGAAGTCGAGGCTTAGCCTGAAGTATTTATTGCCATGTTGCCCATGGGCTATTAAAAAATAAAAAAAAACAATCGATAAAATGTTGAAAAATAATGAGACCTATGATATTGAAACTAACTGGAAATATATTAATAACATTTATATTAATTTTATCTATAACACATTTAAATAATATTGTAATATTGATTACAATTAATAATACAAATAAGAGCAATAGCGGTTAGACCTTAACCAGTTAAATTGATTTAGCTACAACGAATATTAAAAATAACCTTTGGAATTTAATTGAAGCTCCGATTTCTTACTGTGTGTCTACTACTGCGAAGTTACTCACCTTGAGCCAATTGTGAGACAGTTTGAGCGTACGCACAGATTGTGCGAGTGCAGCTGGCACCTGGCAGAGGCCCGTGCCGCTGGCATCCAGCTCCTTGAGACTCCAGGAGGCGACAAACTCCTGCATTGCGGCGCCCACCTGCGGATTGTGTGCAATTGACAGGCTAACCAGATCCGGTATACCCTGCAAAGCGCGTATAGCCGAGCCGCTCAGCTGATTGTGCGACAGGTCCAAATGCTGCAAGCTCGGCAGCGCCAGAAATGTCTCATAGTCGATATCTGCGATGTTGTTCCAGCTCAGCTGGAGTGTTTGCAGGCTGATCAAATTGTAGAATGCCTGACGTCCTATTGTCTTGCCCAGCTGATTGTGGGCCAGATTGAGTTGCTTCAGCTGCGGCATGCGCTGCTCAAAAAAGCTGCCACTGAGCTGACTTAAGCGATTGCAGGATAGATCCAAAGTGATCAGCGTGGAGCTAATTGTGGGCAACACACTCAGCGAATTGTTGCTCACATTCAAATGTTGCAACTGGCTGAAGTTGCTCAGTTGCAGACTGCTCAGTTGATTGTGGCTCACATCTAGGCGTGTCACCAGCTCCAACTGGCCCTGGTAGTTCTTCTGGCTGTCATACTCAGTCAGTCCTTGACTGGAGAGATTAAGCCACGTTGCTGCTGCAGTTGCTGTTGCAACCTCACGCTTATGCAACTCATGTAGTGTTTGTATATCGCGTTTGTGTTTGTAGCGCAGTTCGCTTTTATAGTTGGCCGGCTCGTGTTCATCGCGCAGCATGCGATGCACGCTCTGAAAGCTGAGATGTTGTCGCGATAGTTGCAACTCCTGCTGCTCGGCGGCTGCATTCGTTAAGGATATGGCCAGCACGCTGCTGCACAGCAGCAAGGCCCAAACTAAGCACATTCCTGCCAGATCACAGTTGCGGGTGGGCTTCATTTTTTGTCTCTGTTTTTTTTTTTTGTGTTTTTGGCTCGTTTGTTTTAGACTCGTTTCCCTTTTTTTTTATGGTTTTCGCCTTTAATTTCACTTGGAATTTATGCGCAGTACGTGCAAACGTTTAGCGCGTTGCCTCAACTTTTGAATATATATGTGAATGGCCAACGTTTCGAACGTTTCATTCATTTGCTGCCTGCTGCCATTTGGACAACATTCATTTCTTCATTCATTCATGCACTCACGTACCAGCCGAGCTGCCCTTTTTTTTTGGGAGGGCCCCGGGTCGACCATGTGACAACTGTCAACAGTTTGACAGCTTTGGCGTTCCTTGCGCCTTGGCGGCCATGTTGGTTTAAAAAGCGTTGCCTACTTTTCAGCGTCGCCTCTAAAAATGCAGAGTTTTTAATTAAATATCAACTTGGCCATCACCTTTTCAATTGTTGTGTCTTGTATTTTTTATATTTTGCTCTTCGCAATTGTTTTACGTTTTTATCTTTTCCCTCTCCGACTCTCTTTGTGTTTTTTTTTTCGCTAATTGCTGCACAAACGCTGCTCAACTTCAACAAATGTCAATTAAAAAGCGCGCATCGCTTCACCTGTGTTTGTTGCCGCTTCTTGTTTGTTGTTATTGTTGTTGTTCTTGTTGTTCTTGTTGCAGTCAACCGTTGTCGCATTACAACGTCAATTGTTCCCCTGGCGTCGTTGTCGTCATCGCGTGCTTAAAATCTGTAATGAAACGAGAGCAAAAACAAATTGTAATTACGCTTGTTATGCTTATTGTTGTTGTTCCCAGCCTGCTGCTCGCATGCAAAGAGCAAAAAGTAAAAACAACAGTAAAAAGGTAAACTTCTTTATAATTTGCTGAGCACTTGCTTTGTGTCTGCACTTGGCTTGGTTTTTTTTTTTCGTTTGTATTCTGCTTTTTTTTTGCCTTTACGCTGTTTTTTTTTTGTTTTGTTTTTAATTTCAGCTTGAGCTTTACGACTTGAAAGCGCTTTGGCACTTTGCCTTAAGTGTTATTTTTATGTTGATTGCAGCTAATGAAATTATAATTTCAACACGCTTAACAGCAGGCCATAATTTGGTCCGGGCACGCTCTCCGGGTCGTAACCGAGCTGCCTGCGCCACCTTTTCTGACCGAGTGTCAGCCGCATGCCACTAAGCCCTGGTTAGAATGCACAGCATATGTGTTTCGTGTTTGTATGTGTGTGTGTGTCTGTATGTGTGGTCTTATGGGTGTGTGCTATAAATCATTTAACTGGGTTATTTCATTTCCGGTGTAGACAAGCGACAGGAAAGCCAGTGCCTAACCGACAAATGTCAACAGACAAGCCTAGACTGAAATTTGATTTAGTCCTTGTTTGCCGTAATGATGGCTTAAATATATGCTACGTTCGTTTTTTTTTTCTTCTTTACTACCCACAAGCACCAATTCTACAAAAATTAATTTGTCAATGTCTACTTAAAGTCAAAATTGTCGAGAATATGCCAGGTATAGGAGTTCTCGCGGGGAATATGTCACTCATGTGTGTTACTCTTACCCTCATTTGTAACTTATAAGGGGTATAATAAAAAGGTGTAGGCATTTGTATAAAGAGGGGTTGTTTGGCACAACTGAGCCTGCGTATATCTCTGTAAAATAATTTGTATGTATGCTTGTAAAAAACACCGAATTTATTAGCTAATCAGTATCCAATCGTTATCTTAAATATAAACTCATAATGACAACAATTTAATATATTTTTAATCAGTTGCGATTTTCTTGTTTGCATAGCACTTAGTTATAACGAAACATTAATTTGTTACTATATTTTTTATTTAGTCATAGAATAGAATTATAGTTTTCCCTGTCTATTATTTAAATGTTAAATTACTCGCTCTAAAGAAATTGGTTGCTCTAATCGCAAAATTGGTTTGGATAAAATGTTAGAAATACTGTAATTTGAGAGGGTATCTACGAGTTCAGCTTTCTCATCAGAAGCACTTACTTTAAAGTATTTTCGGTTGACGATTGCTGAATTGTCAAAAGCATAAGTGCTGTTGTTTTTGGAACACATACACACACACACACACTCACACATTATGAGTAAACAAATTTATAGGCATCGCTGGCTCACATTAAGTTTATTGACAAATGTTATCAGAGAAGCTGGCATTTCATTTCAGTTGTCGGTTGTCGGTTGTCGTTTGTCGTTTGCTTACGCAACAGTAAAATGTGGGCCATAAGTTTAGCGGCAGACTTGCTCGACTGCCCGGCAGGCCCGTCACCACTTGGCAGACAGATAGATGATGTACACAAGTCAGCTGACATAAAAGTCGATTTAAAAAACCAACAAAAAATACACATATACATATACATATATATGTAAGAGCAATAACAGCAACAACATGGCCAAGGACAGCTGTCTGTCTGTCTGCCTGCCTGCCTGCCTCCCTGTTTGTTAACGCATCCATCCCTTGTGCAGCCCACACGCCCCGCGGGGGAGCTGCTTGTGTTTTGGCTTTTGACGTTTTTTTTTTTTGAGGGTTCCTGCGTTTGTCAGTTTATTTAATGCCAGCTTGAAAATAATTTGCGAATTGCTATGCCATATTTTTTTTTTGTTACCTCCTCCCCTTCTGTCTGTATTTTATGATTGAGAATTAGGGCGGGCAGCCACCCTTGATACAAATATTTGTATATTTATGGATAAAGCTGACAGCATACTTTCTGCTAAGTTAATCAAATGCGCAGGACACAAAGCAAATACTTTGCTGATGCTGCACATTTAAAGTGCATCCTTTTGTGTTCTACAAATGCAAGTATATATATATATATATATACCAGAATACCAAATCAGCATTGGGATTAGAACGTTGCTGTTGCCTTTGCAGCTAAATAAAGCGCTGCTTTAATAAAAATCCAGGACATTGTGCACTGTCTCGAAATTGGATTCTGCAGGCAGCTGCCATACGTCAACGATTTATTTTCATAGAGAAAGCGACTTGAACCCGAACCCAAACTTAGCTCAAACCAAGATGCTACGAGTTGTGCCGATGCAACATGGCTTTATCAGTGCGCAGCTTGTGCAACAAAATGCAAATGGCATTTGACAGCAAGGACAACGCTGTCGCCCAATGCATTCCTCATTGAGTGTCTTTTGTGGCAGTTCCTTTCGCATACACTTCCACAGATTCTGGCTCCAGTTGCGAAGCTCAATTGCGCAACAAAATATAAAATTGTATCTTTGCCCCCATCTACCGTATGCATTATGCAGCACTGCAGCACCCAAAGCACTGCCATCTTGTTGTGTGTATGTGATTTATACGTTCTTGTGTGTGTTGATGTGACTTTCTTTTACTATCGACTTATTTTGTTGAAATTCATTTTTATCAAAGAAATAAAACTACAAACTGAATTTTAATGAAAAAATCCTTGTTTAATTTAAATATTCTTATTACTTTTTTTTTTATTAAAAAAAAGGCAAATTTAAGTTGAGATTGTGCAAAAGTACATACTCTTGACGGAATAATAATATAAAAAGTATATATATTAGTAAATAGTCGATTTCGCCATGTGCTTTCGTCCGTCCGTCTGAATCTCAGGGACTATAAGAGCTAAAGATAAACTTTATTTAATTTTATCGATAACGAATATCGATACAAATCAATTTTCGAAATCTACAAAAGACACCATTGTAAAGATATACCCTTTCAATTGATTAATAATAAACGCAGTTATATATTTAAGTGAGATGAGAATGGATGATTTTGCTAACCGAAACGTATTTTTATATTGAACAAACTGCTATCAGCAAGCTTACTATGTATTTTAAAGCTGTGCACAGAATATTTCGTAGTCCAGCTGTCTAGACTGGAACATTCTAACTTGTTTAAAAATATATTCTATTTGGTGTATAAGAAATAATCCCTTAATCTAGGGTATTTCAATCATTGGTTGCTGAGCATGTGCTAGGCGGGCATTCCGAGATCTGGTGACTTTTGTTTTGTTTGCTTTTGTAGTCTTGCTCCGAGCTGCTGTTTTAATAAACTTCCGCTTTTTGCAGGCTTTATTGAGTTTGCGGCATGCTGCGTCTGACACGTATTCAGCTTGCATACAGGCTGCATCTACATGCTGCAGCATCTGTGTCAATGTCAACACTGGCAGGACGTGCGAATTTCTCACTTGCAGTTGACTGTTTGTGGCTCTCAAGCCCGGACTAAAAATCTTTAAACAAAATGTCCAAACACTTTGCAAACAATTTGCCAGGATGCCTTTGTGATTGTGTCCACCATCGATTGGCGGCTATTTTTCTTCTTGTTCTACTTTTTAGCTTTGCGCATAAAAGTTTTCAAATTAAACTTTTTTTGTCGTCTGTCATGTGAATGGGCGGGCAATTTGGGAGTTGAATGCCCGACCATACCGTATGGGAATTCCTAATATTTTGTAGATATTTGCGCCACAAACCCTATTTTATATTTCATATAAAATGTCTTTAGATAATTTAAATACATGAAATTTAATTTATATTCTAAAAGTGAATTATTATCAATTTCTGTTTTTAAATTTTCGCAAATTGAACTTAAAGTTGTTTTTTGCTAAGATACGGTTAACCTAAAGCTTTACGCAAGACGTAAATACATACATTTGGCATCTTTAAGATGCAATGAACAATACTCAAGAAATACCAAACAAATTTCTGGATTAACTTAGAACTGTTACCTCGATTCTTAAACATATTTCTCATGTTTATGCAATTTGCCAAAGCGAAAGCGATTTTGGGAACTCGAGCTTATGACTTATGCTCACAACTTGAGGTCGCCATGATGTTGTCTCTCTTAATGCCCTGTGGCATCGAGGCCACATCCATTCTCCCACTCAGTCAGGCAACCGAAAAACACATAAGTAAAATTCGTAATAAACTTCTGCCCCGTTCTTGAGTGTGTGCTTTTATTGTTTTATTTGTGTGTAGATTTTCATGTTCGATTTTTTTTTCTTTTTTTTTTGCCTTACTTTTATTTGCTAAATTGTGTAGTGAAAAATCGCTCGAGGTCTTGAAATAGAGCCACAGAGGCGTTTCTTTTTTCCCTTGACTGTCTTTTTTTCAGTTTTTTTTGTTGGTTTTTTCTAGTTTGCTTTATTTTTTTTTTTGGTTGCTCGTGGCTTTCTTGTTGCCGGGCTGGGTAGTCAACTGGAGCCTTGACATACAAATAGATATTTTCATAAAAATGTTGACGGTCCGTTCTTTATCATAAGGGGGTAACAGTCATTTTTATTGTTTTACTCGCAGATTTAACCCCTTGCGTAGTTGGCAAAGCTTTTTGTGAAATTGGAAAAGTTTTTCAATAATGCTGCATAATTTGTTGTTGGCCAACCATTTCAGTCAGTCAGTGTATGCATTAGGCCATATTAATTTCCTCACTGAGCCAGAGTTGGCCGATACTTTGAGTTCTGTTTGGACTCAGGCCACAAAGAACAAATTCATTTCGGTTAATGATTCTGACAGCTTGATCTTAGAGGTTGCTGCTAGTGTGTATTTCAGTTGGTTGCTGCTCCACTGAGCTCCACTCAGCTCAACTGGTGCCTGTTATCGCCACTCATATTTCCTTGTCCACCACATAAAGTGTCACAATGATTTTCTAATAATTTGCCAAATTGCCTTTGCCTGACCATTAAATCTGAGATACGTGTCTCCTTTTGAGATATCTGTCTGTGCGTGTGTGTGTGGTTGCATGGGTGTGAGAATGGC